GAAACTTTTTAAAAAGCCAAACATATTGCTTTGTGTTTTAATTTCAGGTTTTTTATTAGTCTACTTTTGTATGATTTCAATCACTCTTTATCTACGCTCGTTGCTAATAAATTTGATAAAAATTCTCTAATTAAAAGTAAGAGCTTTTCAAGCACAGCGGGGACTCCTTGTTAAATTTATTGCTCTGCTGATCCGCATTATATTCTTGAAAAAGAAGATTTTCCCTTAAGGTTTTAAAAATGTATATGTAAATAAAACGGCGGTTACAAAGTGCCTATTAGATCTCGCACAGTTTGAGTAGTCAAAATAATGCTTTTGAAGATAAAGAGAAAAAACACTTGTCTGGGACCCAAATCCTATTGTATCTTGAGTTCGCGTTCGATAATGAAATCTTTTAAGTTAAACAGTTTTTGAAGTCTGTTATTAGGTTTTACCGCGAATTACATCTGTATTATGCTGACATTAGCAGACCCCCTGTGGCACGGGGACACCAGCATCTGTACGCCGGGTAAGTGGCAAATTTTCCTTCCCATTTCTAGTTTCCTTTTGTGTCTGTTTATTGCAGCATTCACCGTAGTTGGGACGTTGTATACCTATATCGAGAAAGTGCAAAAGGTATCTCTTGCGATATTCAAAAGCTCGTGATGATCGAAGAATCAAATCCCTTCTTCTAAAAAGACAAAGCAAGTTTACTTCGACACTTTATAATGAACGTTAATATAACCTTTCATTAGAGTGTCTATTAATATTTTGTAAACATTTGCATAACTATTACTTCATTTCTTAAGACGGGCTTCATGGATGAGATGATTGCCGAACGTCACGTGCTGCCATCATTTTCTTCACGTGCTGGGTCTAGAAGGAGCTGTATCATGTACGTTTCTCGGAAACTGCCCACCTACCCCTCCCCTAAGCCAACATTAACACTTACTTCTCACTTAAGGCAAAATGTTGGCTTAGCGGAGGGGGTAGGTGGGCAGTTTCCCAGAACTGCCGCTAAACCGTAAGCTTCAGATAATACTCCTTTTCCAGAATATACCAGTTGTGAAACCATTTTGACTTACTAGATGCCCTTTTTACAGCTTTTACGCTACAACGAACGATTTATGTACCTGCAAATGGAGATTAAGATTAACCGTCAAAAAGTTTCAAGGTATTTCAAATCTCACTATTTCAGCGTCCTATCTCCTGAAAAATCTCGAAACTGGAAAACCAGTTCCCAGTCATAACACTGTTTCTCTAGACATTACAATACCTTCAAGCCTACTTATATCTGAAAGTATTTTGAAATTCATATGGAAGTTAATATTTACTGTAACTTATGGAATAATTTCAACTTGAAAGCCGTCAGCCGTAAAAAGCTACGAAATTTAACCGTCAGCCGTCAAAATTGGAAAAACGTAACCGTCAACCGTCAGAGCTCCCCCCCCTTCTTTGAAACTCTCTTGCGATGCCTCCTGTGCGGGAGGTCCCGAATTCGATCCCCAGATTTGGCCTCAAATCCCTCCTTTTTTTCCCTTTTCGTGTAACTTTCAATACCCGTAAAACAGAGCGCTAATGGAGAGGGCGGGGTGGTGGGGGATAAGCGCGCCGTGGGTCTCAGGTTTGCCAGTTCAAGTACAACTGCAGAACCTCGACATAACGCAGGGTCAAGGGTCTCACTGGCAAAGTTTGTTCGCTATAACGAGGTCTCGATATATCGAGGTCCTTTTTCATATGTTTTACTATTACTGGGGTAGAGAAAATCGTTCGTTATATCGAGGTCTTCGTTATAAAGAGGTTCGTTATATCGAGGTTCCACTGTACTGTTATCGACGCAAAATATGGATCTTTATCTTTACCTTCATGTGTGATCAAATTGATCAAAGAGACACTGACTCGACTAACTCCAATCGGGAATAACGAAGCTCGTCTTTTCAAGAAAGGTGGTCAGTAAATTTCCAGAAAAATAAGGTGGACAAAAACAATTTTTTTCCAAAGAACTGTGTTTGTCAGAGAATAAGAAACGAAACGTCCACTTTCTTGGCTTGGCTTTAAGGTGACAGGGTCCTCCCCTCTCTTAAGAAAGGACAAGCCTTGTTCAGTGTCTGCTACTGTACCAAGAGGTCCGTTTTAAGCTGACTCTTGGAAGAAAAGCAAACGCCGATGACAATTCTAGCAAATTTTCATGACATGCTTGGCAAAACTCATCTCAAGTTCGGATCCTTCAGTCTTTTTTCGAGGCATGTCTTTATACTTAACGTACTCTGTAATATACAAGTGGGAATTCTTAATAATTCTGCCCGGGGAATTCTGATAATAATCGAAAACGAGTTGAAATGTTGAAAGCTTTGTTGGTAGTATAAAGGTGCCATTAGAAGTTTAGCTAGTTCATGGGCAATCTCAAATAATTTGAAAAAAAAAATGCCAACAGGACATAACGGAATTAAAACCACCAAATGAAAAGACAACCAGTATGCTATTTTTCATACATGATCGAGGATTTGAACTCGGTAGAGTACTAAGCCTGGTGTTAGGTTCTCGCACGCTCGAACAGTTCCAGCAACACTCCCCTCGAACGCCTGGCACGCAGGCTCGAAGAAGAGGGGAATCTGACATCTGATTTACATCCTATCATTGTCACGGTTTTCGAAGCCATCTTGACGAGTAGGCAAACGCGTTAGAAATTACAGTGTTTGTATGAGAATCTAATATCGAATAATTGCCGTGAAACGGCTGTTCTGAAAAAAATATGAATTGTAAACTAAAGCTTCACTCCTAAGGATTCTACCTAAAAAAATTGAGGGCGTTCCATGCGCTAGAAGACCTAAAACTACGTTTTTACTGATTTTCTATACATTTGTCTGTAAGAAAGTCCCGGGAAAAACTACAGACAAATATATGGAAAATCTAAAGCAATCGTCTGAACAAACTTAAGCACAGTACGCCTCCAAAATTTTTTAGTACAATCCTTTGCTTTGTAGCTTTAGTTTACAATTTACATTTTTTTCAGAACAGCCGTTTTACGGAAATTGTTCGACATTAGATTCTCATATAAACACTGTAATTTCTCACACGTTTGCCTACTCGTCAAGATGGCGTCGAAAACCGTGACAAGGTCTATTAAATTATAACAATTGAATAAAGATTACTTACTTTATCGATGCGTTGACTTTTGGCGGCCATTTTGAAATTTGCGGTCGGCAGGTGCAAGAGCAAGGCCTGGTACCAAGCTGGGACAGTCCAAAGTTCGGTAACATCTCGGAAGATCCGATTACTTGCAAAGTGCAATGAAGGAGATCCGAGCGGCTGCGAAGCGCGCGTGTAGAGATTTTTTGGGCGCCGGTAGCCTGTGTAGCTGGGTGGTTTTGTCGATCTCCTCGCGGAGTCTCTGCCCTCGCCCGCCTTTATTACTTGGCTCGCCCAACCAAAACCGCCATGCTACGCAGGATTGGGGGCTGGCAACGTCCAGGCGCGATACATCTTCAACCAAAGCCACGAGCGGCGAAGACGATCGAAAGCAAAAATCGCTCAGTTGAAAAAGATCTTTGGCACCCAGTCTTCACAATGGCCTGATTGGTTTTATGCGACAAGATTTGACATAATTTAGCTCAGAATGGCTTCATCCAGGGCTGGATGTAGTCTAGAATTTTCCTTTAATGCCTGGAGTGCTAATATTAGCATTTTTCCTCGAGAAGTCCTCCTAAGCTGACCAATACCCTAGAATGGTTTTGTAACGGTAGTCTATTCAGTCTATTGTCAAGACACAATAGGGCCTAGAGTTGCCTACAAGTCGAGCTCAAATTTTTCACGGGCGCGAAGCGCGAGCGGTAGACTTGTTAACTACCGGAACCGGAAATGGAAAGCGGAGGACTTCGAGGAAGTCTATTTTTTGAAGTGGGTGGGAAATGAGAAAAGAGTTGCACCATTCATTCAAGCATATAAGGTTAGGCGCATCTTAGCTATGAGTAGTTTTTTTGTGCCAATAATACGAGAACTTGCCGTCTTAATTTTTTTCGAATTAATGGCCTTGATACTTCCGGTTCCTTGGAGAACCTTTAGCTGACTTATTAACAGTATTGTAGCTATCCGGGGTGGATCTGGATACCAAAATTGAAATCAAGCCTTATAGCCGTCGTGTTAGCCTGCGTAGCAGGCGCTAGGAAACAAATGGGCGTAAGAAAAAACGCGCGCGAGAGAAGGAGACACGCCAGGGGAGAGGGAGCGCCTCTCCCTCGCGCGCGCCCGTTCTTTCTTGCGCCCATTTACTTCCTAGCGACTGCTACGCAGGCTACCGTCATGTTCCCTACATTTTTCGACTGCTATTAACACGCCTTGTCGGTAACGTTTTACAATTAGCACCAAACCCCCTCCTTATCACTTTTAAGGTTTATTTACAGTAACTTTATTTGAGAAAACGTCGGGCAGTTTTAAAAAATGAGGTAGGAGTGGCAAGTACACTCCTGAATAATATAATCTTAATAATGAATCTTATAATCTTAAATGAACCAAGGGTTATGATATGTAGTGGTAATATGGCATTGTTAGATTAGAAATAAACGGGAAATAATATGTTTTGAAGTAGTTGTCGCTGCGCGAATGTTGAAGGACATAATTTAGAGCATTGTTGGTAAGAGTGCCTTTAGATTTTGTTAGAACTCCTAGGTACATGTATACTGAACCACGAATGAAAAAACCCTGGCGCAAGTGGACTCCTCTTGAAACAATTTTCTCACACTGAGTGTGAGAAAACATCAAGTGGAAGTCTGTGGCAAAGTCTGGTAGAATTTTCAACTTCTACTTGGTCAAAAGTGGGCAAACAAATAAAAATGATAATCTGTTCATGTTGTCCTTCAGCAGCATAATTAAAAATATATAAAACTGTTCTAGTGAGGCCTTAACTACTGATTAAAAAGTAAAAACTAAAATCAAAGCTTTTGCCGATCAAAGGCATCATCATCATCATCTCTTATGACGCCGTTGATCGGCGAAAGCTTGGATTTTCGTTTTTACTTTTTCATCAGCAGTTTAAGGCCTCACTAGAACAGTTTTACATATTTTAAAAATGATAATGATAAAAACAGCGGCATCTTAAGCGATTTTCAAAGACTTCAGTTGAAGCAGTCTCCTTCGCAGTCATTTTTGTGTCGTCACGCAACGCTTCTACCGGGGAAAAGCGTTGCGTGACAACACAAAAAACGGCTGCGTAGGAGATTTAGGCTATGTTCACACAGCATGGACGAATTTTCTACCGGTTTAAAATTCGTGTGTTAAGGGGTTCCGTTCACAGGGAAAATCTAGACGCTTAGCCGTTCAAAGTTCCCTGCGAACACAGCGAAAATGTTGAACGGTCCCGTGGGAAGGTAACCATAAAACAGTCCCAGCCACCTACTTCAAATATAGACCCACTTTCCTCAGTGTTCAATAGACTGCAAGAGAAATTGTATGACCAACTTAAGTATCAGTTTCATCTTGGTTCTTTTGAAACTATGTCGGTGTTTAGCTTAGTTCATTGTCTTTAAAATAATCTCATTGTTCTTAAAATCTTCACATCTCTTTATCACGCAGTTCCCTTCAACAGTCCACGTTTTACATTGGTGGCGCAAACACTCCACAAACATCCCCTCTAAGGGCTTAATTTCAGTCGTCCAGTTTTACAAACACTTTCGGTCTGGAGAATATTTTTATAGCGTCCTCTATTTGAGCAAGTTTTCTTTCCAGTTCTGCTTTGGTTGTCTTCACTCGGAGCGTATCCACTCGAACTGGAAGTGCGTTTAATTGGGTGAGAAGCTCGGCTTGGCCTTTAAGTAAATGAAAAAAAAAAAGAAAAAAGAAAAAAAGGAAATACCCAAATAAATTAATTTATTAACAGTACGATAAGTACTATAGATTTACAAAGCTACAGATTTAAAAAGCTTTGATAGGATGAGAATGAACGCGGGGAAAGGACAAAGTTTCGAAGTAAACGTTTTTGGGCCTGTTGAAATTGCGGCAAAAGAGTTGGTCCAACTTTATCCAACATTGCTGGGTACAACATGTTAAAAGATTCGCCCCATGTAAGGAAATTTAAGACAGTCTTGGATTCTGGATTCAACGCCGTGGATTCCGGATACTCTGTCAGCGGGAACTTGGATTCTGGATCCCAATCGTAAGCGGCATTCTGGATTCCAAAGCCCACGATTCCAGATTCCACAACCCATAGTTTATGGATTCCGGATTCCACAGGCAAAGACTTCCCAGTTTTGGAATCCAAAATCCCTTACATGGGACAAAAAGATAATTTTGAACACCCTGATAGGATTGAATGAGGTAAATCTTTGCGCCAATTTAAATGTATCTAACACGGTGGATGGACGACTGTATATTAGGCATTTTTCTAACTCCAATCTGCTCTTTGGAAACCTGCAGCACAACAAGCACTTTTAAAAAGACCACATGTCACTTTCTACAAATGTCCGTCGTGGAGGCGATGGTCAAAGTGTATGTGCTGTGGGTCAAATTGCTCTGTGCTAAGCTTTTATCTTCCTTCGGTTAGTACTCATTAATAATATTACTGAAGTAGGTGAAACATGATCGTACATGTGAATGTATCAACAACAACAGTCCTATTCAGGATTACGTTCACCCAGATGATCATGTTCCACCAACTTATGAAATGACTCCTGGGTTCAAACCCTTCACAATAACATTATTATTTAACACACAAAGGACTACTCAAATTTGAACCAAGAATAAATTTCCCTGCTAGCAGTCAGGCCTCTTCTCGCTGGTAAAAGATGGGAAGAATAAATTTGACCTATAGCATAAATGTAACTCTTGGAGAAGTTCACCCTACTATGCCTTGAGAAACCGAGCACCCCTCTCCCTGGGGAGCTTTGTTACTTACTTGTTTGCAGGTTAGCGAGAGTCTGTCGTTGTTCGTCTCGAGGCATGAGTGCATGACCTGCTGGAACACTAGGGTCTGGCATGTTGGCAATTCTCTCTGCTTCTTCTTGCTTCCATTGATCTTGCCGAACTTTGAGACTTAACAACAACAACAACAAAAATGTCCAGTTACCACCGCAAGACAGAACACTGTCTCCACAGCTCCTTTTAAGAGGTTGGTACTACACCAGCAACATTAATGGTAATTTCAAGTTTCCTTGAAAATCAGCTTAAAAATAAACACATCATCACTGACTGCAGTCACGAACAAAACCTTTGGCAACAATGACTGATGTTTGAAAACCTTAACATACATAGTGGGCATAAAAGGAGTAGAAGAAAGGAGGGGGGGTGCAAATGAGGAATGGGAGCCATTTCTCTGCTAGAGACGATAAAATCATCTAGTTAACACATTAACATCTAGGATGAAATCATTTTTCATCTCAGATGCCTTAACATCTCTACCAAAAATGGCCATTCTTTCTTATTTTAAACCTGTCACGTCCTCTTTTAAAAAGCGTGCGTTGCCGAGGTAATTTAACAGCGTGCAAAGAAAGTCGTGTCCAATAGTCTGGGGCTACTGGATTTTGCTATCGGGTGAGTGATTTTTGTTCTTAACTTGCCTGACAGGCAAGTGTTGTATTTTTGGGAAATTCAAATTACATAAGGATTGTAATCAATCCTGCTAATCAAAAAGGGTTTGGGGGCTAGTTGAAATGACTTGTGGGCTAGTACATGCTAGCCACAGCTTACCCAAATGGCAGGCTATAAAACTGACTTTCTTTAAACCCTGTTTAACCCCAGTTAGTAACGTCTGCGAAGTTAGTAACATCTGCAAAGCAGTACCGATATCCTTGTTCTGGGCCCTAAGAGGACTCAACAAATTACCGGAAGTGCATTTTGAATTTCCCTTCAACCTTATTGGCAAATTGACGATGGCTTTTTTAACAGGCCAATCATGGCACATACTCAAAGGACAAGGATTTCAGTGCTGTTTTGCAGACGGACTTAACCAGAAGTTAACTTCCGTCTGTGGTGCAGGCTATGAGAACTTTAGATTATTTCTAGGTAAACTGGCTGCTGGCTGCAGTCCAGGTTACTTACTATTTGGGTACTTTTCCTCTCTTGTAACGTTTTTCAGCTTGTTCCTTTTTAGCTTCCAGCTGCTCTGCTGCTATAACTGAGGGTGGGCGGGGTCTGAGAGGGGAGGGTGCTCTGCGAATATTATCACCAACGTGATTTATGTTTCTGACTTTTGGCTTGTGCTGAAATGAAAACAAAAACAGATCACAAAAAGGACATACACCTAACAGGAGAGTAAATAGTTTCATTAGAGACCTTAAGATCAAGGTTTTTCTGCAGTTCCCGCAAACCACAGACATCAAGAAGTCATCTGACTAGTGCTTTAATGTCAGGTTTGTGGTTTGATATTCACATTTTGTACAGTTACAGTATGCTCTAGAGGTAAGTGATTTACTGCCTGGATTTTTGCATCCTAAAACATCACAAATTCCACGTTTGAGAGGATAGGGTTCTTTTTAGAACTTTTTTGCTTATAATAATATAAATTATTATCAAACTCACTTTCATCAAAATGTAATTTTGAAAACAATTTCTCAGCTAAACTAGATGTCAACTAATGATTGAAAACAAACATGGAAGCAGAGAGCAGTTCAACAAATCTAACCCATGAATTAAGATTGGGTGGCCTACATAGGAATTTCGACTGTGGAGCGACTTAAGTTCAACAACAAACTTCTCATGTGCCAAACCTAATGAACGAACTAAAATTTATTTTCACTTGTACGCATTTTAGACTATTGAAAATCGTGAAAATAAATTAAGTTCGATGTCTGAATCAATCGTCAAACTTTTATCATTTGGTTCGACCTAAATAGGTGTTAAGTTTGGCACATGAAAAGATCGACATTTGAACTGGGCCTAAGAAACACCACAGTAACTTTGACATCTGCTCTTGACAAAGAATTTAAAGTGCTTTTAATCAAAGGATCACAATGAAAATGTTGTTCAATTTTTATATCACTTGCTTCCACTAATTCCAAGCTTTTAAATTTCTACAAACCTCTTTAGCAATAGCTGCCTTGGGAACAGTAAGCTTCATCTCGCGTGGAATAACAGGCTCACAAGATGTAGGTCGATCTTTAACTGGGGGTCCATTTCTTGAACCAGCTCGGAGAAATGTTGCAGAGTTTGATCTCTGTAGTGGTGGAGGAGCCTAATAAAGATAAATAGACTTAAGTTTGTTCTGTTGTATAATAACATGACTTTAATCTCACTTACTATTGTTGAATTTTTCTACGAGATTTTAGCTCATTCAGGACAGTTCTTTGATGATGGGAGTATTTACACTGCACATTATTATGTTATTTTAGAACAAGTCAGAGTGAAAAAATCTTCTAGTCAGCAAAATTGACACTACTGACAGGAACTCGAGAGAGAGTACTCTAGTATGACGGACGCTAGTCTGTTACTCGATTATATTTTCCTTCTTAAAAAAGTATCCAGTTAAAAAGTGCTGTACGTAAATTTTGTAGTTTTCTATTATTAGTAACATTTACTGGCCTAAACCTGGGTGCTGACATTATTTTGTCTTATGTTCAATTTTACCCTTGGTTCAACTTTGAAATATCATTTGTGTATCAGTCATCATTGGGTGTGATAATAACTTTGAAACATGCAGGAGAATAAAATTGAAAATGAGGATAAAATATTGATCTGTAAGCAATACTGGGATGAACACCAGTGTTTAACCTTTCTGTCCAGACTGAATTACAAACAGACAAGAAAATATAGAACACTGTTTTAACTTTTAAACCTGTGGATAAAATGTTTTCACATGACCTTTCAAATAAAACTTCTTCAGTCACACTTGAGAATGGTGTGATCGATAAAATTCTTGAAAATTAACACATTGCCTGAAAACACCATGAAATGGCAGCTGGAATCCTTCAACACCCCACTGAAAACTGCTTAGGGGAGTGGGCTCCCTGGATACATGTAAATGTTACAAACATTATTATTGTGCAGGGTAACCCTTGTGTAAAAGACTGAACAGGCCCTGGTAATGTTCAAAATGCCGGATAGAGCTATCCACCAGATAAATCACTATCCAGTGATTAGTATGGGAAACTAATTGCACTCTCCACTGGGTAGAGATTTATGCGGTGGATAGTGCTATCCAGCCTTTGAACAACCAAGGCTAGATGTTTAAACAAACAGCCAGATGACAAGGAGATAATGTAACCTGCAATCAATCCACAATGAGACGTTACTCTTAGATGATGATAAATAATTATTATTAAATCTCTCCACACCTTCACTTCTTGGGCAACTTTAGAATCCACATGATCAAATTTTCCAGGTTTATAAACTGCTTTAACTGGTTCAGTCGTCATGGCCTCTCTTTGCTTTTCTCTATTTGCTTTCTGGATCTCCTTGATTCGATGTACATTTTCTTTTGCAAAATTCTTAGGTTGTGCAGAAGCTGTAAGCAGAAAATTAATCACTGATGAGAACGGTATTCAATATAATTAGCTCAGGTTAAATCATAAGTTGGCTCAGCAGTTAAATAGACCTTAGCTTAATGTAAGAGAGTTGTAGGGACAACCTGTTTTCAAATTGTCAGATCTATACCGCAGAGATTTTGTTACAAATAGTTATGGTGAGTCCTAGGAATTATGGTGAGTCCCTGTCCTGAACCAATGAGTCCTAGTCAAAAAAAAAAACGAGTCCATAATAATTATTGGAAATGCTTGGGCCTTCACGTAACCAGACAGTTAATCTGAAGACAGACTCCTAAACTCTGTATTACAGTACACTGAAATAAAATATGGTCCTTCTATTTTAAAGCACAACAAAGGCTAAAAGAATAATTCTTTTAGCCTTTGTTGTACTTTAAAATAGAAGGACCATATTTTATAATTGTTATACATCACTAAACAACAGCCATAATAACTGCCACACAAACTACATGAACAGGCTGGATATTTCTACAAATACACATGTTTAGATCGATCGATCTTCGGGTCCCACGGGAGGCGTGCCATGAATTATTTTGCATCTTTGCGGACTTTTATGCGTCAGGGACGCACTGATACAGTCAACTCTCCGCAATAACGACATCTTTGGGACCCGCATTATGTGTCCATCTGCAACTAGAGTTTTTTCTTTACATTCCTGAGTTCCTTTATCAAGTAACATAGTCTGTCTCTTACATGTAACTGTTGAAAGAGCATGCTCCCACTTCGACTTCACCAAAACAAAGTCTTAATTAAAACAAATCTATTGGCAAAGTTCTATTTGAGCAACCAATTTGACAGACACGCTACCTACAACACATGAAAACTGGTTGTTTTGATATGAACTCAAGCAGTGAAATTGTACAAAAATTTTGTTCACTTCAAGTACAGTTTGCATGTAAACGAGAAACACATGTTGGGTGAATATTCTTCGTTCTTTAAGCCAATGACATGAAACTATTTACACCTCGACTAATTAAACCTGTATCGAAACGGCTTTGCATTGAAATGACTGGTAAAAATAACCCAAGAAACCAAAATATAATTCACACTAGGCCACATTGTACTTAAATATGTTACCTGCTAAATACGTATATCTAACAAGTAACTGGAATATGGGTTTTGAGTTATTCAAACAATAAAAGGTTGAGATCTGCTGAGTTACAGTTATTTCATTCACCTTAGAAGAAGATTTGTTCTTTTTTAACTTTTACTTTTCAGATGACTTCCAAACTCACATAATCAACTAAGTTTAATCTAGGTTAGCCTACACTGCAGATGAAACTAAATTCTGGTTAAGTCCATCTGCAAAACAGTGCCAAAATCCTTGTTCTGTGCCCTTATCTCAGTGTTCCAGATAAGAGATGGGTCTTTAGTCAATGACGCGACAAAGAAGGCTTCCTGATGCGACGTATAAGTTAAATAAAACGAAAAAATTAGCACATGGTCTTGGTGACCCCTCAGATGGTCTACATGATCCCCCGCTTGAAAGAACTGACTTGAACGCTGCCTTCTGTGTACAAGGATTTGAGTATGCACAATGATTGGCCTATTGAAAATGCATAGAGATTGTTGATTTGCCAATCAAGATGAAAGGAAATTCGAAAATATGCTCTTCCAGTAATCCATCAAGTCTGTTGGGAGCCCAGAACAAGGCCACCAGACTGCTTCGCAGACGTTACTAACCAAGGTTAAATTACGTCTGTGACTCAGACCATGTGTAGTGCAGCTTAAATGGTCTGGTCTTCACTAGCCTGCACCACAGAGGAAACTTAACTCTGGTTAAGTCTGTCTGCGAAACTGTGCAACCCCCCACTGGGTCTGTGTACCAGGATTTGAGTACATGCCATGATTGGCCTGTTAAAAAAGCCATTCTCGATTTGCCAATGAAGGGAAACTCAAAAAGCACTTCCGGTAATTCATTGAGCCCGTCGGGGGTTCAGAAAAAGGATCTCGGCGCTGCTTTGCAGACGTTACGTAGTCTTCGCTGACTAAGGTAATTGGTAGGCAAGCCATGTTCACACCGAAAGCCTATATAAGCTTATTTTTAGTTCAAGGATGTAGTTTACTACTAAAACAGTTCAGCAAATTAAGCTACCTTTTTAGTAAAGCGAATGTCACTTACAAGGTCTTGATCCGATGGGGTACGGTCTGGCTTGAGGATTGAACAGCTGGGCAAGCGTTCCTTGATTCTTAATTGCATTCGAAAGCGCTTCAGGCTTGACTCTTGCCTTTGGTAACCTCTCTGCATAACCTGAACTGTATCTATCAGCGCTTGTTGGCCTTCTTGTTTCGAATCCTGGATCAGTTGGTATTGTCCATGTTGACAACATCTTATCGCGGTTGACTTGAGTTCACTTCTAAACTCAATCGACACCAGACTGTTCGCGTAGTTCTATCCTAATCTTTCGATGGAGCATACTTGACAGCGACCGTTCGATGTTTTGGAATGCAAATCAAGTTGATTTTACCAGAAATTTCCGTGAATCTTTAAAACAATAAACGATAGAGTTCGTAAAGCTGTTATCTTTCCGTTGGTATGCTAAACAACTAAAGAAATCCCACAAGGCAACGCGTTACTATGAATCGTTACCGCTGGACATATGATCGTGATCGCGGCTCGCGGCGCGAAATTTCAGAAGCCCGGGGGCAGCTACAACTCAGTGACAGGCGATTGTGCTCGCAAAAGTAGCATAATATGCTATATACATGTACTATATTTAATTTGCAGGTAATATTTTTAGTTTGCATGTACAATTTTTAATTTGCATGTACTATTTTTAATTTGCAGCAATATTTTTAATTTGCAGGTAAAATTTTTAATTTGCAGCAACATTTTTAATTTGCATGTGTGACCCTTCTGAGACACCGTACATATGTCTAAACTTATGGCAATAATTATGCTGGTTTTCGTTGATTATGCTCATTTTAGCAAAAAATATAGAAATTATGCAGAGACAGGAGCCGACAAAAATGTTGGTAAAAAATATATATATTTCCGACGGTAAAATCAGCCTTGCTTCTTTTGTTCAAGTTATGCTTCTACTTTTTACTTTAAATTTGGTTAAATAAAAACACCCTAAATAACTATAGGGCCCTGTTAGGGGGGGTCTTGTTATCCCTTATCCCTGTAACTCTTAGAGCCGATATACGTTCGTTCTAAAAGTTCCAAGGATGTTATCCCTGAAAACCAGGGACCGTATAGGGGGAGGTACTGGGGGGTAACTCCCCCCCCCCCATCGCACTTTTTGTGCGAAATAAAAAAAATGTTTGCCAAACATTTTTAGTTACATTCATGTTAGAGAATCACTGGAAGATATAGCTGTATCTGAAAGGAGCCAAGACGGTATTGAAGTGCATTTCTTATACACAAGCGTACGGAAATCGCTTCATACTATTACAAAAATATAATTAACTTGCAACAAAATTGCCAAAATACTTGCGCCTAAAATCGCCGGTACATGAGCCGCTAAAACTTTTCTTTAAAATTAAAGCAGCAAAAGTCGCGCAAAATTACTCTTTACAAAGCCACTTAGCTTTGGCTCGCCTTGCAGAGACTACTTTTTTTTTGATATGAATTGAATTTGTTTGCAGGGTATTGGACTGACGGACCCTTCGTGTGAAATGGGTCTGTTCTGTTCTTAACACAGAGGAGGTTTATCGATTATTAATGGCTGCCTGTGAGGGGAACATGTACACCCAATTAAGAATTACCTTTCATCTATGTCCAAAAAAGACAAAATGGCGGACGGAATTCTCAGAAGGCTTTGCGTGTCCCATTCCCCTTCAATGGGTCGATTTTGCGGGAAGCGGACGGGTCATTTCAGGTTGTCTGGCGAACAGATTTGGAAGTCGATTTGAAAAGAACAAAAAATTATTGTGTGGTGTTAGTGACCATCTATCTACACCGAATGATTATCTATAGACAGTATTCGGATAAGGTAATTGGCCTCCGCAGGGGCTGCAGAAGCAATGCCCTCCCACAGTCCCCACGGGAAAAGCTTCAGCTTGTTACAATTCCCTCCAGCGCGTGTGAAAAGTCTTTTCTTTGAATACAAGAAAGGAATATAATATGCTATTTGTAGATCGCACCGTCAAATAGAAACATATTTACTTGGATAGTTAGGTGGGCTTTAAATGCAAAATCCAACAGAAGTAAAACTAAATCTTAATATGCTCTGCGTTGCAAGTCTGCGAGTTTTTAGCCTGCGAGCAAGCTCTCCTGTCTGGGCGAGTGAAACGGGTCTCGCGAGAACGCGCGAGCGAGCAGCGAAGGCCCAAATAGGAGAGCTTGCTCGCAGGTTAGCGAGTTTTAAGAAATGCCCCGGGCTCCTCAGTAGGCCAAGGTAGCACCCTGTGCTTATATATGGCCCTACGATCTTAGAACTGAAAAGTGAGAAAAGTGTGAATCGATTATGTTTAATGTTGAACCAGAACGTAATTCACTTATCGCTAAAACATTTCACTCATCCCTAATCCCCCAAATTATTTTGTCAGTCATCCCTAATCCCCCAAATTATTTTTTTCAGTCATCCCTTATCTCAAAAAACAAGTAAATGGTAAACACATTTACCCTATTTCAGTTATAACTAGAAACTTTAATAGCGCATAATTCATAACAAGTTCTTGGTTGCATGATCAGTAAATCAAAATGTTGTGCTGCAAAACTTGTCAAAAGTGCAAATTATGCTACTAGTGCTTGTTTTCGAAAATAGCAGAAAATATGCTCGTAATGACGAATTATGCTGAAAATTATGCTAGCACAATCTATCAAAGTCTAAATTCGGGACGAGGGGTCCATTTCTCGAAAGTCTCGAAAGAAACGGGAGACACCTTGGACAATTACAGTTTCACCGAACTAGTCCGGGCAAAAGAGAATGAGCCCATTCTCTCTTGATCTCTCTTGGTTCGGGGCATTTGAAGTCCCTGTTTCTGATTGATTAGAGTTAATTATTTTTTGGTGTCCATTCAGAGTAGAGGAAATAAAAAAAATAATAATAACGTTATTTGTGTTATTTCTTTTTGTAGCTTATCAGGTCTTATAATATAGGAAAAAATCATTTTATCAGTTTGTTGTTGTTGTTTGTTTTCAATCAGTCTGTCACATTTTGTAAACCTTCTTGCCCTCTAAAGGATGAAAGCTAGATTTTTACTCATCCAGGTCTACAGAAGATCCGACACACACCTCTCTAGTGGTTTTTCCCTATGGTTACCGTTTTGCTACTCCTATTATATCGGTTTTGATAGAAGAGGAAGCATAAGTAGCAGGGATATACGTTAGTTAGAAGAGGCCAAGTTTATGCTATGAGTTCAAGGCTGAACTCAAAATGTCCCAAGAAAAGCTCAACAAAACACATCAACATGGCACAATAATTGTTATTTAAAAACATGTTCTTAAAATTTTAATTCTTTAACCAGTTTGGAGACTGATTTAAAGTGTGAATTTTCTTGAACTTTACATTGACGTTTGCTAGTTGTCTCATGAGTTTTATTCATAACTTCACAAATCATAACTCAAGACGTATTTTCCTGTCGTTTAATTGACGGAATTGGCGGTTTCACGTTAAACTTAACACGTGAGTCGAATTTCATTTTAGCGGTGTCCCTAAATTGAACAGAAACAGCTCCATATATTCGTTCCGCGTTCCGTAATTATGCTTCACGATCAAGACTGCATTTTCGTCGAAATTCCTGGCCACGGATGTGTAACCACTTATTTGCAACTAAAAGACAACAAAATAAGAGTATTAATATAAATGAATAAAATGAACAATTGTGTGGTGACTGATAAAATGAACGAGTACATAAAAAGGAATGATTCTCGTACAGTTTGGCCTTGGTTGCAGATGTAACGGCGGGTGGGCAAGATGGGGACCAAAGGAAGTCACAGATAAACTGGTGCCTACGGTGGCGGGTTCGGTGGAATAGTGATCTACTTAGACTGCTTCACTCAAATAAGACGGACTAGAGTAGTCGTAATTTTGAGTGTTTCATCGTGCAAAGAAGAGAGTGTGTATTAAAATTAAACTGATCAATGTTTGAACACTCACCCCATTTATTACCGCACAGGACTGGACATGCTGCATGCTCTGTATCGTAGTCTCCGTCTCCTGATCGTTTTAAGTTGTACCAGAATACTGCGTCCCCCTGAAAATCACATTAAAGATTTATTAGGAAGTGGATCTAACACTGTTAGTTTTTTGAAAAATAGTCTACGAGCAGTCCCTCATTTTCCCTAACGGATAGTAGAGCGAGCGAAACACGAGCGCGCGTGACAGTCTATTGAAAAAAGGCCTCTATCGACACCTAAATAGCTAGAGAGGGTGTGGGGCCAACAGATCCCCTCTCGATAGGGTGTAGTGATGAATTTGATAACTAAGACGGATGAAACTTCTTACAAAATGAGCGGTGACGGGACAGGCGGGCTAAGATAAGACTCTGATGATGGGAAGTTAGTATGGATTCATTTGATAAGTAAAAAATTCGGTGCGTATGAGAAGAAGAGTATGCTCGTCTAAAGACTTCAAAAATGTTGCAAACTTTTCTATAGTTGGCTGTTACCAGTACTACTCCATATGGTTATCACTCTGTTTGCCCCCCTCCCCCAAGTTTTGCATAAACCCCTGTTTTCATATGCTCCTGGGAGTATAGCCTCCCACGCAGACGTTCTTAGGGGTTCGTCACGCGTTCCTACTCCACTAAGGTTAGTGCGGCAGGAACGCGTGACGAACCCCTAAGAACGCATGCGTAGGAGTGGGAGTACTGCATTTTTCCTAGAGCATTTGAAGACAATAACATGCAAAATTTGGGGGGCAGACAGAGTGTATTATGGGGGATTCGAAAATAATCAATACTAACTAAAAATGGCATTTTATACTTTTCGAATTCATACCTTAGTAGGAGCGACATACGTTTTTGCCTTTGTAAATACTGTGTAACCTCCCGCGCTGACGTCATTCAGCTGTTAAGGTAATAGAAATAAAGTTTAGTCATCGTAATTCAAGTTTCACTTGAAAAGATCATCTTATTGCAAGCAGTTAAGAAAAACAGAAAAGAGGATTCGAACAGGATTCGAACCCATGACCTCTGCAATATCGGTACAGCGCTATTTACAAAGATATTTCACTTTGTGAAAGCCGAGGCTTTAATTTGTTTTCGCGACTGCCAGTTAAGTTGCGTACATATCTGCGATGATCGTTCTCGAGCAAAATCATTCTCCCCGCTGTTTTAATGAAAGTTTATTTATTCATTCTTGTGTTGATCATGATCAATGATCATTAACGCCCAGAAGGCAATAAAGAGTCAAGGCAAAATAACTCATTCTGAATCTACATACATAAATAAGAACTGTGGCAACGCGGTTTCCGTTCGGAGATAAGTCCAAGGGCGAACCAGGGTCCTGAAAATAATCATAATAAAAAGTGATAAGCCTGGTACATGATACGGAACAAACTACTGACCCTTGGATCAGTGCGATGGGTCAGACTGGCACGCACCCTATAGTCCAAGGAGAGTTTTTGATCAGTGCCGTTCATTTGCAAGTTGCATGACCTTCTTAATTGTTCCAACTTGCAAAAACAACCTTAAAAAAATGTACAACACCTTTTTGCGCACTTCCAATCGGGGCAGTATGTGTAATCAAAAGTAGGAGCCCAAAAAGTAGTATTGCAGGCCTGATTACCCTAAGAAACTATTCTACAGAAAGCGAGCTTGCCGGGCTTTTTTCAGGAGAGCGAAGGCAAACGCGAAGAGAGCGAAGAGCATGAAAAAAATAAACGTCTGTTATGTGCATGGGCTACTGGAGAAAGGCATTCGTACCCAGTTTCACAGGGGTGCCGTGGTCGGCAGTAAATTCGAGCGACCTATTTGATGACTTTTATACCAAGACGGTAATTGGGCTGAATTCTGGCTTAATGACTGATGAAGGATGCTACTTACTCCAAAATCCATGTGATATTCATATTGTCCAGCCATGCCATAGTTTGCAATCTGGTATAAATGCAATAATACAGTATAGTACTCGTCATTAAATAAACAGTTGAGCGAAAGATATATTCGGCTTATAGTTTAGGTCTCGCTTATAGTCATGTTAAGCTTTGATCGATCAAAATAGACGTCCTGAAATGTAAAATTTTGCGACTTGATCGGTAAAATTTGCGGCTAATTGGAGCAGAAAATTAAACCTCGTACATGTCACAGTTTGTTTTGGTTTACGTGTGTTTGATAGAGACTGAGGGGCGCAAAAAAACTATATGATCATTGCTTAATGTATAAGATTATATTGTTGTCCCAGACATGCTAGATGAATGTGTACGGTAAAATACTGTGTTACTTCCCGTTTTTCTCATTTTTAATTTTTTCTTATGGACTTTCCTAAGGATCAGAAAACAGAACGACTGAAAACAAAAAACGGAGATGGGGATTTGTCATATTTAGAGTACCTGCAAAGGCTCTGCGGTACTCATTTCCAGCCCTGTTACGGCTCCAATACGTCTGTTCAGTCTTGCGACGACTTCACTATCTTCGCTTTCCAGCCAAGCACTGCATTATATAAAACTCCTTCAGTATATTACTTCCTATTTATTGCTCTCTTTTTAAAATTTTTGCTCTCTTTTCCCTACTCATCGTTTCTTCGTTCGCTCGTTCATTAATTCCTTCATCTTATCCCTCCTTCCTTCCTTCCTTTACTTTTTGATTGATTGATTATCGATTGAAGCTGATTCAAGTCAATCAATTCATTTGTTCATTCATCTTTCTTTCATCCTCTCTCATTCTCGGACGGTCTTGTATTGCATGACGCCGTGTATTTTGATGACTAGTTCAGTCTAACATTTTTTTCGTTCATTCATTTCGGCCTCTGTACTCAGACTAACTATTAATAAGGCCAAACTCGTAATATAGTTGCAAAAGCATTAAAAAAAATATATATATATATATATAATATCGTGTCGCAAAATAATGAGAAACTGAAAGTAAAAAGTGAAAGTGCTGTCAAAGAGGTTTTATTTGAATTGCTCACTGTTGTTAAAGGATTTTGTCCAGACCTACAAGTTAACGTTCTGACGCGTAACTGTTTACGTACCTTTTGCTTACTCGATAATCAGCGTTTTCAAGTTCACCAGTCTCCTTGTTAAATACTGTTGCTCTTTGCAGCTACCAAGGCCAAAAGAAAACGAGGCATAGTTAAAGACAACAATAAAATTTGTAGTTACATTGTGTAAAACAGCTAAGTTGGTAATAAAGGTGGCTAAACCGAGTATAAAAACGCCAAAACAGTGCCGGTTTGTAGTCATCAGAGCAATTCGCAGTTTACACTAAAACAGGCTTTATATTTTCACGCCTCTCTTTCTCTCTGCGCAAGTATCAATAGTAATATAAAGCCGGTAAACACTAATACTAATGCTCTAATGATAATAATAATTTAAATGGAACATAACATGGTTAAGAATCCCAACTGGCCGGAGGCAGACCAGTTGGCCGCACAGGCGTGGCCGAAGATTTGATCCCGGAACTACCGTAGCTAGCGGTATTACATGTACAAGTCCAGCGCTAACTAACCTTTCGACCACGCCTCCTCCTCCTAAACACATAAGCAACGTTATTATTTCAGTTATAACAGACGTCCGCTTTCTTTGGGTCATAAAATGAGCTCCTGGTTATAATTAATAACATGGGCCCTTTGCAACTTGTCAGTCACGCGTACAAAAACGCCATGCTGGAGAACGTGAAACGCATTGGGTTAATACAAGCATAGACCTCTCTAGATCTGTGAAACACTTTCTCCCGATCCCTCGGAAATTGCAGCCAGGCCGAAACGCAAGTTTCTTGCGTCCGATTAGCCCGAAAATCACACTGTCTAAAGAAGAGAATTTGAAAAGGAGAGGAAAGTATTGGCGAGGAGAAAGGAAGGAGAGGCAGATAAAAAAAACAATGTTTGCTCTGCTTGTTTTTTGAGCATTTACATTTTCAAAACACCATATATCCCTATAATCCAACTGTCATTGGATTATAGGGATATATGGAATACGAGATATTCAAGGCAAAATTTAACGGGGTATGGGTCACTCCGATCCACTTAATGGCAACTCACCTTGGGCGTGGCTATGTCTTTTATTTGTTTTGCTTCCACAGGGCTCAGGAGGTCTCTAAATATAAAGATCCGGGGTTTTCGCCATACCATTTCTATTTTAACAGGTCTGAGCATGAGCAGAGGGTCCTTTTTGTTTTCGTACCAGCAAATGAGGTTACCTTGAGGGGTACTCTGAGTAAGAAAAAGAAATCATTAAAGTGACGATAATTTAGACTTTCTCATTCTCGGTTTTCACATGACGTCACCAAAATTCAAACTAAGAAACTACCGATTCTTCTGAGTTTCTGAGTTTCACGAGGTATTACAGCACCTAAACACCTTTGTTTAAACAAAGTTTTGGTTCCAAAGGGTTCTTCGTTTTGCGACAGAGGACGTTTGAATTTCTAGGCTTTTACGTGACGCGGCATTTAGCTGGCGGACGGAAAGGCTATTATGTGGGTTAAAGACATTACCAATTTTGGGAGATTTTGCTATCTAAACATTCCTTGTCTCAGAATAAGTATCACTTTAATCCTTTATGAGTTTTTCAAGCGATGAATTCACGCATTACAAAAGTATGGAATTCAACTTGAAATATACTAGAGATAGGAAGAGTATGATAAGGTTAGCTAGTAAGCCAATTTTGAGGTCGAACTGACACAAAAGACTAAGATGTTCATAAATGTTGGAATTTCTGAAAAATTATACATAACGAAAATGCAATGAATTTGTTGTTAGGAATGTGTTCTTCGAAACATAAATTTGGGTTGCCTGCGGCAGACAAAAGTAAAAGCCATTACCTGACTTGTATTTCCCCTGCATAGTGTTGCATACTCGCCCTGTGTGAATGCAGCTGTGTTGATTGCCTCCTCCTTAGCCTTTGTTTGCTCATAAGTTTCAGTGCTTCCATGTTCAACGACTCGCTTGTAGTGCATGACATTTTCTTTGGCCTGTCTGCTATGAGGAACTACAATTGAAACATTGTTACCAATAAATTATCTAAGGTAAAGTTCGTTGTAGATTTTAGAAAGTGTGTTACTGTCGCCAGACGTATGCAAAGATGGATAGGTGGAATCGACAAGTCGAGAGCTGGGGAGGGCTAGGCCGTTAACGCACACGCAGCCTTGCGTTTAGATTTTGTCTTGCGCTCCTCTTTTAACTGATTTTACGGTTAAAAAGAAACTAAAAAGGGGACCAGAAAGATATGTAGTGCGGTCGGCGAGAGGGTAAGGCGAGGGTGATCTATGCATTTGAGCGTTTCTATTAAGGCTTACTGTAATTCTCTGCAAGGCCTATTTTTAGGAGAAAATGTATTAAGGCCCCTTCCCTCTTATTATAGCTCTTCACAATCAATATTAATAAATGATAGATTGTGGTAATTAGCTATCTACGACTGCAGCACTTGCTTCATGTAGACTGATCCGGTATCGTTTATTCACGTGCTGGAAGATCAGATTTGTTTTTAATCTTCGGCCTCATGACCTCCTGACTTCATGTAGTTGGGCTCTTTCACTTTATGTGTTAGTTCTTTACGGCGAATTGACCATCTTCTGGTTGTTTGAAAAGCAGTATAGCGCCCCATTTCGCTAAATAAAATAACCCTCTCCCCCGTGCTTAAATAAATGTAAGCGTCCCCATCTACGGTATCCTGCTTGTCCCTCCGAGATGTATATGGTTCGCCTTAACTTCGTTTCATAAGCAAACAGAAATCGAAATCAAGTATGGTACTGATGTAGGTTGAGGTTCTGAAATACATTATAATGTATGATTCCTTTCCAGCTCTTAAAAAAGTGACGAAAGACTTCAGTTTTCAATGAAATACTGAGAAAAGAAATCTTACCTTTTTTTAATATTTCCAACGTAAGATTTAGAGAACGCTCCGGATTCCCTTTCTAATGAAATAAGGAAAAGAAACGAGCCTTAGCTCTTTAAAGTTAAAGATTTCACTACATTAGCTTGCAATGTCGGGGATAAACTTTTAGTTGATAACAGCACGTTGAGTCTGAGCCCGAGTTTCATTTGGAGTCGAACAAGAAATTAAATCTAAGACCCGAACTCGAACTGTATGGTTCGACCCCGCCCTTAGCCTGCGAAAACATCCGTTTCTCCTCGCTCTTCGTCTTCATCCGCGCGAAACGTCCCCATCGGCGAAGAGCGAGGAGAAACGGATGTTTTCGCAGGCTACCCCGCCCTAGTCCCCTTAGTAGTCGCTTGGGTCATCACGCACGGCCTGGAAGCATCAGTGTGACCTCGGATTGACCGACTACAGAAGAGACTATGATGGCTCCTTGACTGATCTGCCCTTCCAGAAACTCGAGGTGTTGTTCAAGAGACGATAGTGGCCCACCATCCTATCCTTTATGTAATAACTGTCCAGCTTTTTTTTCTGACATTATTATTCACTGTAACTTTTTGTATCCTCAGTACAGCCGCCCCCTACCCTCAGGAAAAATCCGCGTGAAAATACGACGCTATACTTTTTACTGTTCAGTAGACTGCGAGCAGTCTCTTCTTTTTCTTTGCAAAGTTACTGCACGCGAAACCTAAACACGCGAGCGACGAAGCCAGGAACCGCGAGAAACGAGGGCGTAAACGTCGTGGTTTTGGGATCGCGCTGAATGAGGTAAGAACTAGACGGATTTTAAGGGAAAAGGCGGACTGCAAGCAGTCTAACTGTTCAGAAAAAGGGTACCTTGCTATCTAATCGATCGTCAACCCAGTCACCTCCCCCTTAATCTGCCATTTAGGTCACTGAGTGATTTGAATTGTCTTACGATAAATTCCACCCATGCTAAGTGTTCCAAGACTTCTGTGTGATTTATTGCTCCCTCATGTCTCCCGTGACGGGTCAATTTATCTGCCATCCTAAGCCAGTCCAGGCCCTGTCCGTATCTCCCTGCTTGATAAGCCAGCACCCCTAGTTCAAAACAGTCCTCTGCTAAAAGCTCTGGCGCAGGGCCACATCCTAAAAGTGAAACACAGAAATCTCTTAGAGAGGGTCCAAATATAATGGCCTTTGCAGTCAGCTATTCACGTGGTACAAAACCGCACTTCAAAAAAATACGAATAAATCACAAAACCAGAACGTTTACTTGACTTTTTGACAGCCATAAGATGCATCTGTTAGCCTTTTTGGGCCATTTTACATCAGGCCCTTTCACATACTTCAACCAGTGAATCCCTACCCTGTCATATACCTGAAGCCTGAAAGTGGTACCCCTTTCGGGTGGAGCCTCTCTGTATGGGCCATTTTAGGGATAGCCTGTGAACAGGCCTTTGGTCGATTTTTTTTCCCCAAACAGAGAGCCTGTTCACAGGCTATTTTAGGGAGTACGCTCCAGGACTTGGCATGGTTTTATACCTACATGTAAATGCTCTTTTTTATCCACCAATTCATTGCGGTACGAAATCATTTTTTATTCTCCTGAAGCATTATTTTGCTTTAGCCACTTCACGTACCTGTTGTCACGTGCACTTCTCTCCGTCCGGAAGGAAAGAAGCGACACACGGAACTATGTCTACGTTAATCAGCGAGCGGTACCCAAAATCATCTATTTTCTTCAACGTATGACGTCATAATTCAAACCGTCCTTTGGGCCCATATTCAGTGCCGCGCGAATACCGTGAACTTCCTCGGCAGTTTGACCAGCTGGTAGTCAGCGTAGCTAGCGTTTTTCGCACGAGCTTGTTGAGAAAGTGGGAACACGATCAAGAAAGAGAAGTGACGGGGCTGCACAATAACTCGAGCTTTATAGCTACCTAATTTTTATTTTGCTTACCTGGCATATTATTGTTTATCATATCAACACTTGATATATTGTATGTATCTTGAAGACGATACAATGCCGCCATGGCTCCCACAAGGTCCTCGTTGTAATTAGGGAACTGCCACTCGTTTGTCCTCAGTAAATCTTGCAAATCTGTTCGAGCAAAGTACAAGTAAAGAGAAAACGTACGTGATTCAAATTGAAGATTGCTTAAGGAGTAAGCTCTTTGAAATTTTATCTAAATCTAATGGCTATCTTGAAATCACTGAAATCATGCATCAACTTAAATTTAACTAGCTCAGGAGAACGACTTAACCTACATTCTCTTTGTAATTCACATTGTAATTTAGATAGCTTAATTCATACTATAATTCTTACTTTACGACAGCTGTTACTGTTTGTAAAATATTTCTTTTTTTCCTTTACTTTCTTTAAATTTGTGTCTCTTCCCCAGCCTTGATTCGGCTCTTCTATACGCTGGTGGAAGCCGTCGTGAATGTTGTAATTGTATGTGTGAATGAATGAATAAAGTTGACGGTTGAAATTTGAATTGCCAAATAATCATCGTAAACGTGATTCTAATGTCATGTTCACACTATTTAGGGGATATCATTTCATGCCGACACAAAAAGCTATATCCGGTATAGTAAGAATACCTATCCAATGTTCCTCTTTTCAGAACAGCCTCCAGAAAGAGAACTTTTTATTTCAGGACTACTAAGCTTTAGAACAATTTAGAACCTTTTCTTAAATTAATCCAATCTGTTCACATTTTTAAACGTCTCTCAAGGAACCAGCTTTTAGATAACTTTGTAAATGCTTCCTAGTTAAGTTTAACTGAGTATTGTAATTAGTAATTAGTTAAGAATTGCAATTAGTTCTAAGTTAAGTGTTGTAATTAGTTAAATAATGGTAATGCTTGTAAATAATGATTGTTCCTGAAAAGCCCCTTTGGGGAGGAAACAATAAAGTATGTATGTCAAGTATGCATATGTGTCTGAATCCACTTTAGAGGTCGACGCGCCGCAGCTTCGCTCCGTCACAGAAATCGTTTTTCGATTTGAAGACGGTGCTAGTTGCGGCGCAACAGTTAACGTCCAGCGTCCCTACTATCTGAGAGCCTGGCACAGGCTACCCAAGTAGTAAGATTACTTCAGGTGGTTCGAAGGAAATCGAATACTATTTTCTTTAGGAGCTTATTTTAAAGAAATTAAATTTAAATTTAGTCTGGATGACAGCACGCGCTAGGAAACAGAGCTCAGGACTGTGGAATCATATTATTTGACCATGCGTGAAAAGGGTGGAAAACGCGCGGATCAGCCGGACAGCTAAATTCAAACGACCAATTTGATAGCAGACACTGTATCAGGCTCTAGTTTAAATTAATTGTTTAGTATTGCTGATATCGATTTATTCAAAAGCAATTTAGCACAACGATTGATCTAATCAAATTGGGTCAATCAACCTGACTAAATTAATTGTTAGTTATTTACTTACTCTGAGAGTAATCCTTGCTTAAAAATCCTGCCAATTCTGTCCATCCGTTTGCAAAGCGCTTTATAACAGCATATGTTGCAGTCGGATTTTCGAGAACTTTCATTCCATCTTTCTTAACTAGTTCTGTGGCTTCCTTTACGCGTTTCGCGAATTGTTTGATCTCTTGCAATCGTTTATTCTCCTGTTCGAGAAATCTTTCCAAACTTTCACCCAGCTGAATTTCTAAGTTCACAATTTTCTCGAGTTGTGCTATTGATGCAAAGCTATCGCCAGCCACTGATAATTTTCGTCGAAAATTCCCACAGACAGCCAGAAATATGAAAGCATATAAATATCGACGGTCCATTTTGTCGAGCGTTCTTGTCTCTGAGCATGTGATTTGTGGTTTTGTTTGCTCTAGCCAGATTTCAAAGGGGAAGCCTTTTAAACATTAATTATTTATTGCAAACATTTCTGTACTTGTCGAGCAAAAGGATTGTGGAAGAACCTTAATGCGTTGTTGTAAAAACCGTACATTGCTTTTAACTCAACCTACACAAGTCTTAAAGAAAAAAAAAATTTTTCTCTCTTTTTTTATAGCAAAGCAAACTTCGTTTCTTTTCCTTGTTTATTTTTTTTTTCATTTGTGGCGCAAGCACTTAAAAAACAGGTGGTCAGCGGGTCTTTCTATTGTTCATAAAAACGGAACTTCAGGAAATACCTACATACCGTAGTGTATTTTTGGCATCATTTACAGCTCAATAGCTTGGAGAGAATTTCTCAGATTGAAAACATTTCTGCGCAGGAAAAAAAAACAAAACCAAGAATAGAATTAAGAAGTTGCTTGAAATAAGTACGAAAAGTAAATAGTTGCGACAGAAATTAATGGGTGAAAAACGTTGCATGTTAATATATACATAGCAGCATTCAATTGACCACTCCAGAAAATACCATAACATACCATAATGCTCTTTGTTTCACCCCGAAATTTTGCATTTGCATTGTCTTTAGTTTCTCTTGGGAGTTAACATCATCCCCAAAGAAACTGAAAACAATGCTTATGCAAAATTTTGGGGTGACAAACAAAGAGCATTATGGTGTGTTATGGTTTTTTCTGGAGTGGTCAATAGCTAGGCCGTCATTTCTCCCCTCAGTTCCCAGGACCGTAATCAGGCTTCAATATTTCAGTTTTCCGAATCGGCCAGCAAACAACAGAGACGTTATCCGCTTATCGGACTTATCGTACATGCGTGAGACTAGGAGAGATGTTCATAGGGAGAGAAAGGAGAGAAACGACCGATGAGGCGTAGTACAAAAAACAACAACATCGACTACAACAACAAAACTTTTTCAGGAGAAATGGGCTGACGAGTCCAAGCCTAGGGGAGAGAATAAAGTTCAAGGACTCTAAGATCCTCTGCAAGCCGAAGAGCTAGTCTGCGAGATCCGCGATTGTGGCAACGGTTAAAAAACTGAAAACGAAAATTCGTCCCAGTCAGTTGGACGGATTTGAAAATTATCCTGAGCTGCCTGAAAGCATTGAAACATTCTCTCCTGAGTCCTGATTGCGCCCAGTTTTCGTCTTGAAGAGTCAGAGCGCGCGAAAAAAAAAACACACAAAGGCCGCGAAAAGTTGCGTGACGTCTATACCTGTCACAGAAGACATTTTCGTTTCGTTTTTCAAATCCCATTGTCATTTTGCTAAATTTTTTCGAAATTGAGATTGTTACGTGAAGTTTGTCATGTTTCGCGATTTCTACTTAAATGTCCTTTAGATAAATAATTGATTGTTGCAATGAATGAAGCGATTCATTCCTCTTTTTGGCAGGTTTTCATTCCGCTGCGACAAATGTTAAAAGAATTTTGAAATCGCCCGAGTACGCCAAAAGGCATATTTTTTAAGTTTTCTTAGCACTTCCAAGGTAATTTTTTTCCGCAACGCATACATTTAAAAGTATAATGACTACGAATTACCATAAAAAGGTTAATTTGGAAGCGATACATGCAAGGATAGCGTGTTTTAAGTTTCGTGTTGATGACGATAAATAGTGAAATTCTCATTACATTCGTGCTTTTTTTATCTTCTTGAAATCGTGTCGGCCTTATTTCCGAGTTGCGGTGGCTCAGTGCTGCTGGCAAAATGGCTGGAGTGCTATGGCGTCGATCGCTCCCGTTGACAGTAATTTTTAGCCTCATATTAAGTAGTATTCGGGCTGAACTTTTCACAGCTGTTGTGGAGTTGGAGAATCTTGTATACAGAGAACGAGAAATGAGATTCGAATTGGAGAGATATCTTAGTTTAGAGCAAGAGCGATTGTCCAAACTCAAGATGTTTCTCACGAAAGTTAATGCGGCTCATGAACTGGTCGGTGACGATGTTTCCCGTTATTTGGGACATCCTGTGAACTCTTATTTAGAAATCAGGAGATTTTATAAAGAATGGCCTGAGGTTGAGAGATTAATTCAGCTGGACAATTCGGAGGGTAAGATTTATCTCATGTAAAATTACGCGCGTTATTAATTAGCTAACGTAAATGCTCATTTGGTAAGCTTTTACTAATACAGTGAAATTAGCCTATCATTTCTATACAACTCTGTTGGTTATTGATCGTTTCGTACTTATCGGACTTCCTTTGAATTTGCTCATCGATCAGCTGCTGAAATATGTTAATTATCCTTATTTACAAAAACAATGAACACTCTCATGTCGATTCTTCACTAATCAGTGCAGTGTTAACTAAAATTCATTTCTTTAAGCTTAGATAATCGTTTAGGTAATTTCCCCAAATTAATAAATTTAATAATGCATGGGCAATTTGAAACGTTTTGAACGCTGCAATGTATTAAAAAATCACCAAAGTTATTATCTTAGTTTCGTTACACCATCTTGCATACGTGTCAATTATTCCGTTCGCTGAAATTAAAACAAGGCTTGACAACATAAGGGTAACTTTAATAGCAACTGAGTCTAGCCGTCTAGCTGAATCTGGCGAATGAATTCTTCACAGACACCCTATTTAAGACGCTAATATTAGTGAAACTGAGGTTACATGTATGTCCCTAACATGGCACCAGATGAATTTTCGACCCGTTGAAAATTCTTGTGTCTAGATGTTCCTTTCATAGGGAACTACCTTTTAGATGCCTAGCCATTGAAAGTTTTGTGTGATCAGAGTGAAAATATGGTCCCTTGTGAATTAAGTGTCCAGTCAAATTTTTCAGCCAGCGAATAATTTGTTCGGTGCCATTAGTTGAATGACCCTGAATACATATAGACAAAAGGACCTTGAAGACTGTTAACTCCGTTTGCCCCAACTCCCCCCTGGCTTCCTGGGGTCCAGGAGGTACTTCAACTACAGTGAAACCAGTATTAAACGGACACCCTCGAGGAATGCTGTAGTGTCCGCTTAATACAGGGTGTCCGCCTAATACAGGTTTCAATAGATAACGTCATATGAGGTGTCAAATGCCACTCAAATGAACAGGGGAAACGTTTAGAATACTCCCAGAGACTATGACGATATACATTTGCATAAATTTCTTTTTTTAAGTGGACCAGTTGATCAAAGTACCATAAACATAGATTGCAACTCAAAGTTGAAGAAGGATGAGTGAAACAATCTCTATACAAACAAAACAAAATAGAAAACAATACTGTACTGTGAAACTCATCAAATAAGTTCGTCAAGTCATGTTTTTTAATGTAAAAATTGAAAAATTTGTAAATGGCAATCTTTCGCTTTTCCGGTGTCTGGCATGTTGGGTGGTGAAATTTAATTACACTAATAATATTAGTGTCCGTTTAATACAGGTTGGTAACAATAGAAATAACCATTTCTGGTACTTTTTAGGTGTCTGCGTCCGGCCAATAGAGGTGTTCGCTTAATAAAGGTTTCATTTAAAGTAAATAAGGGAAATATATTTAGGGACTTCGGCTATTGTCCGCTTAATAGAGGGTGTCCACTTAATATGGTGTCCACTTGATAATTTCATATCTCCATTAGAATTGATTATGCAATCAGTGCACTGTGGCCCCTGGCGCCCAACTTTCGCCCCTGGCGACTAGAAATTCTTAGATTTTTAATAGAAATCATTACCCTGCGAGCAGAGTCTCCTTCGACCAACTTCGAAGGAGACTCTGCTCGCAGGGTAAGAAATCATATGCTAGGCACCCAGGATTTCACAGGTTCATAGCACTGGGCCCCCTTCAGGTTTTCTTAGAGCACAGCCTTGTGCAAGTTGAGGAGTTTAAAGCTCCTGTCAAGAGGCAATGGCTGATTCATTCTTTGCACTTCTCTTAATATTTATAGAATATTTTATCAGGTTGTTCTTTTCCTTGTAGCTGTGAGCGATGCGATAGCAAAGCATAAAGAATCTTTCCCATCTAAAGAAGACTATGATGGTGCAATCACTGCACTTCTGCGTCTTCAAGATACATATCAACTTCAGCCTTCAGCATTTGTTCAGGGCAAGTTGCCTGGCTCTGTACCCTCACCAAAAATGCATTTGAGTGAAGTTTACGATGTGGGTCGACATGCATATCTGAACAGCGACATGTTTTACACCAAGTCCTGGATGGATGAGACTTTAAAGTTGTACCATGCAGGAAATGAGCTTGAGGATGTAAACCTGTTTGACATTTATGACCATCTCTCATTTTCAGAGTACAAGGTAATATTTTATTATGAAGACAGTGGTTTTTTATTCTTGTAATGAATATTAATATACTAGTTTTGCAATTCCAATAATTATTACTCATGTACAGTGTAAATGTTATAATATTGTGTAGTTCCAGAAACTATCCAACCCCCCCCCCCACTTTTGCTTTAGATCCTCCACCCCCTTTGAATTTCCATTCCAGGGGGTGCTTGTCACATCCCCTCCCCCACTCCCTGTAATTTCCATAAATTTTCAACTTGTTTAGGACCCTCTGGCAAGAATATTTGTGTCATAAATGTTGTTGCACGATGTTATTAAGTCACACACTCAAGATACATTTATCTTCGAACTTCGTTGCCCTCCATGAGGGAGGGGGGTATGGATATTTTGTGGAACTACACTTTATTGAAAAGTCCCTTGAGCATTTGCATTGTATTTTTGGTACAACAGTTACACCACAAATACTTCCTCTTCAGGCATTGCTCTCTGAGAAAAAATTAGTTTTAATGGAGCCCAAAAGCATAAACTGTTGAAATCCAGGGTGCTGAGGATATGTATTTGGAGCAAACAAAAAAGATTTCCTGGTCACCCCAAGGCAAAAGTATATTACGACCAGGATCTGCCTGTTCGGTATTCAATACGGGCCAAAAATATCTGACTAGAAATAAATTCTGACCAGTACTGGTAAGTTGAGAAAATACCATACCGTAAAATTCCAAAAATAAGCCCCTCTGTGTATAAGCCCCTCCAAATATAAGCCCCTGAAACTCGTAATGCAAAAAACCCTCTGTTAAATCGCCCCTCCAAATATAAGCCCCCCGGGGGCCTGTATTTGGAAATTGCCCTCAAATACAAAGTAAAACAAAGCAAAAACGGTAAATTTACTTCCAACTATATAAGGCTAGCCCGATCGATTTTGAAACACAAATTTCCCTCCCGTAGATAAGCCCCTCCGAATATAAGCCCCTCCAAAAATAAGCCCCTCAAAAAGGGCGCTTGAAAAGTATAAGCCCCAGGGCTTATTTTTGGAATTTTATGGTAGTCCTGGTGCCAGTGACAGGCATTTTGGCAATCATCGAAGACATTTTAGAAGAAAACATATTGTCAGTTGATGGTATCAGGAAACTTTTATAAGTTGTTGCATCGTTATGGTTACTGACTGTGTCATTGGTCACTTGTCAATCATGTCATTGGCTTTTAAGACTCAAAACCTAGCTGATGATCTGCTTCAAAAAGTCTTTTAATGTCACCTTTCTAATAACGTATGCGGTATGTCAGACTTTTCAAGCTACTGCATGTAGAATTAATGCCAGAATGTTCTGCATGGTTATAGCTTCCAGTGCATAATATAAATTTATTGTTTTATAATTCTTAACTGTGCTTTCCATTAACATATAATAGTGGCTGTCAGCATTTCAAGTTGATCTCCCATTGTTTGGTCATTTATTATTTGGATGAAATTTGCCTGCATTTTTGCATGAAGCCTTTTAATAAATTACTGACTACATGTACCCCTTTCAGATAGAGATTTTTCCCCTTTAATTTGTTTACACTTAATGTGGGAGAAAACAACTCTTTGAATATTACATCTTGATTTGCAGTTTTGTCAGATTGTTAACGATGCAGTTATTTATATCCAATGTTTTTCTTTTCATTTTCAGCGAGGAAACCTAAAAAAGGCCTTAAATTACTCTCAGAAGATGGTTGAATTAGGTACTGTTTATGGTCTAGCTGCAAACCTAATGGCTTTTTTCTATCTTCATTAAATACCTGGGGGTGGGGTTACTTCCTTATAAGAGGCTGAATGGGGATGTGCTGCTGGATGGGGTTGCATTTTCACAACTGAACTGACTATAAACAATGGGATCGCATTTTCAATAGAGTTTCTAGATATGGAATCGCACATGTTCGGATTTTTGGGGGTAAGACAGTTCTTCATATTTACGGTTAGCAAACGTACCAGAATGTTTGTACTGTAGATGAAGTAAAGTGTTCTTCATTCAATCTAAAAAATGGGTCAATTCGTAAAAATATTTACATGGGACTAAGTTGGGATCACGAAAATTACATATTTGCCCCAAAGTGACTAAGATGTGGTCTATAATATTACTGGCCACAGAATAGACTATTATGGGGTAGGGGCTATGAGAGGCCAGAAGCACACACCCAACAAAAATTAACCCAAGTATCCCCCCTGGGATTAAATAACTAGTTTCCTGTTTGAAAAGGAAGTTGCAGCCATAGGTAGCCTTACCAATATACTTGTACAGTTGTATGTGGATGTATAAATTGATATAGGGATCTTTTAAGAGGCTGAAAGATTTTTTGGTCAGGATGTCTTGCATTGATCTTGTGTTCTGTTTAGACCCAACACATGAAAGAGCACAAGGCAATGTAGCTTACTTTGGAGAAGAAATAAAGATGTACAAAGGGACAGGTCGCAGAGGTGATACAGGAGTTATCACAGAAACGAAAGTGAAACCAAGGAGTGAACGAACTAATTTTCATCGAAGTTCATCTTTCCAAAATTATGAAAGGCTATGTCGCGGAGAGGTCAGAAATTTGGTGAGTGTTTGACTTACAGTGAATCAAGCTATATAATTTCCCTACTGCTGAGACAGTGTTGTTCATTTTGTAAGGAACAACAAAATGTTTGGTGATGCCAGTGCAAAGGATTAATGCCAGGTCTACCTGTCAGAAATTTCTAAAAGCACCTCTTAGTGGCCCCAGAATCTTGCTTTCTGGGTGTGACTTAAATTTATTTTCACCCCCTATGTAATATGTACAGCTGTACCAACTCATTAACAACAAATCAGTCTATGATAGCCTGCTAGTTGGCAGTATGGTTATTTTGGCAGAGGAGCTGCAGAGCCACTGTGCTTGGCTGTTATAATTGGTTTAAACTTGCATGTAATGCTAAAAGTGGGCGGCATTCATAAAAGTCAAGTTATACAGAAGGTTTAATTTTCTTGTGCCCTTCCGTGCTGGCCTCGCACACTTGCTGCTTTGCCACCAAAATTCCCAGTCGAGCAAAGACAATTCTGCCAGCTTTGCAGGCTAAATGGTGACAGGTTTGTTGAGGGTTAGTACCTGGCCCTCCGTCTGGTTGGGGGCTAAGCGTGAGGCTAATCACCCGTTATGGTAAAACTACTTTCAAATACTGAAACAGTAAATAACTTAATGGGAGAAAGATGATTTCCTGTCCTATTCCACACTAAGAGAGTAGTGACCAGGGTTTTCGGTAACATTTGGAATTACCAGATGCAGAGGATTACATGTAGCTACTGGACTTGCATCGTTCGTGCCACAGGTATGAACGTTGAGTGCCGAAGGAACTTTTTTGAATTGGACCCTCTAAAATGCAATTTCCCTGCAATTTGTTAACCGGAAAGGTCTTTTAAAGTGTTTAAAAAAAAAAACGCTCACAAAAAATTGTATGCATTACATAACTATGTGAGTAAAATAAGGGTCAAATCTATCTGATTAAAAAAAAAAGGATTTTCACACTTAAAAAATAAATATTTTCTGTGAACTGCCAGATGTTAAATGTCAAACAACTGGACGTTGTGTCCGGTGTCCGGCCTCAAACGAAACCCCTGGTAGGGACTGATGATGATAGAAAGATACTATGACCACCCCCACCAATTTTTTGGGGGAATTCTCCCTGACGCTATTATAGATAGAGTGAATGGCACATCATACAAAAAGATTGAGGAGCTTGCTGAGCAAAGGCAGTACCTTCTTTCTCTGTATTGGTCCAGCACGCTTGGTTACTTACATTATCCTGTTTTTTAAAGATAATATTTTGTTAAATAAAGAATCATAACTTACATGTATTAGTGAGAAGCGATCAATCCACGTTGCAGTATGTATAAATTCAAGAAGCCAACATGGCCTTGTTAGCCAGCGTGGCAGGATTTTGAAGGCAGGTGCATGACAATACAAAGTGCCCCCTTCGCCTGTTAGCTCGCCCAAATTGCCCCTTCCCTTTCCTCTTTGAATGCCTACCACGCCGGGTAACGTGGCCATACTCCATTAGCTTGCTCCAGGCGTTCAGTTAGTGGAGAGCAGCACAAAATACAAAGCAGTGGAAGAAAGAAAGAGGGAGGGAGAGAGAGGAGGGAACACCGTTCCTTCACTCCCTACCTCCACCCCCTTGCTGTTTTTCCTGCTCACTTTTCTTCGTGCTGTCCCTACTATCTGAACACCTGGAACAGGCTATACTCCATAAATTTTAAATGCAATTCTGTTCTTCATTGTTTCCTTCCACTCATGGGTTAAGATGAACTCAACAAAATTGGCCTGCTCCCAATGTATGGGTCTTCATAGCTCAATTGGTAGAGCACTGAAGCGCTAACGCAAAGGCCATGGGTTTGAATCCCGTTGAAGTCCCGAAATTTTTTTTCGTATTAATTTGCAATTACTTAAATTGCAATTTCCACTGCGACGATCATATCTTCATTTGAACTTTGTTCGTATTATCTATTTTTGTTGTCAGACTAAATGGGAGGAAAGTAAAATGCTCTGTTGGTACTATAATGATCCTCCCAGGCTGAAGATCAGACCCGCCAAGATTGAAAGAGTATTTGTCAGACCTGAGATTTTTCTATTCCGTGGCATTTTATCAGATGTGGAGATGGAAGTAATAAAGGAGCTGGCAGCCCCAAGGGTAATGTACAGTTGTTGTTAACTTTATAAATTCAATTCAATAACACATAGCTCTATTGAATGGAATATCTTGATTACTGGCAGCGCCGTAGCTAGTATGATTTTTATTTTACATAAGCGATCATCGGATATTTTTAACGCATCATGATATTACAAAGAATTCAGCAATTCAGTCAATATACTACGAAAAAATTACCATATCATCGATCTCAAGGGGCTACGTACGTTAACCCAAATTTTTTTTGAACAAATACTGATCAAAACCATTGGCAAGGTTAACGGTCACCCAGATTATGTAGCTTGTTTCTGATTATTGCTTTTTAAATTCCACTTAAATTAACTCGAAAAAAAGTTACCGAAAGGCCCAGAAAACGCTGCAAATCGCATTTCCGAGAGACTAAAGTTCAAAATTTCTCGGGGGGGGGGGCATGCCCCCGAACCCCCCTAGCAACTTCCGCCTGCCTCGGTTGGCCGTTTGGTCTGGCTACGGCACTGACTGATACCTGGTAATACCCTGAATTATATTTTGGGTTTACTATTTGTCATAGCTGTATAAGGCATTGTTTTGGATTCAAGGCTCCTGAAAAGTATACAGCGGAACTTTGATATTATGAAGTACCAACGCCCTAGAAAAATCGTTCATTACTCAGTAGCAGATTGTTTATTATATTGGGATCCTACGCCATTCATCATCGTTATAAACTTTACCACAACTAGGGCTCAAAGGTCCTTCATTATGATGGGATGATTGTTTTTAAGGGTCCATTGTAATTCCCTGCTCCAGAAGCTTGCTAAACGATTAAAAAGTACGGACTTTTGCGGGGTAAAACATTTCTACTTTATCACAAGGTCCTCCTCAGTTACCTATGACCGAATCTTAGAACAGCCACGTGATTGTCCGAAAAGTTGTCGTGGCTGCGGAAGTTGTTGTGGGGACTTTTTTCACATCATAATTGACAAAGTCCCTTCGATTTTTAATTACATAACCATCGCTCCATAGCTCTTAAGAGTGTGTATTTACAGAGAACATTCAGTTATTCTTTTTTTAAAATTCCGACTGAAGCGATTGAGAAATTTGTGCTACTGTTGTGGAGGAAATAGATTTTGTTGCGACCTACAAATGGAAATGAATTCGTTTTTAGTGTTTTTGGGAAATGGTACAAGAAAATACTTAATAGAGTTCACACATTTTGGTGGCTAGCAACTCTTGAACGTAGAACCACAATTGCAACCAAAAGTTGAGTTTCACTAGTTTTACTTAATTGACTGGTAAAATTATTCGGATTTATCACTAACATTGTGACAGTGTGATGTTACACAGAAGTTTTCTATGTTGGTCACTCTTTTGGCTTATCCAGTGTCGTACACATTCTTTTTTTATGTCGTCACGCAACGTCTCTCCTAGCGATGTGTTGCATGACGACGCAAAGAAGGGTTGCGTAGCCGGAATTTGGCTATGATTTGGACGTCACGTAACGCTCCTTCCAAAACCAGCAGCCTTGTGTGAAAAGCCTGTGAGTCTTGGAAGACTGTCTTTTGCCCTAACCTCCCAGTTCGAAAAGAAGTCAAGATTAAAACCATGGAAAATTCCCCAACTTCATGGACACCCCTAAGACAACTGCTCATGACTGCGACTAGCTTTCATTAAAAATGGGTACATTAAGGATTTTCGCCTCATACTCGAAAAGTTAGAACAACCTTGCACAGCACTACTTTGTCAAAAGCGTCGCAAAATAAAGTTTCATCTACATGAGGATTTCACCCGCAGATTCAAAGGTTACAACTCTTTTGTCCCCTATGAAATTGCATCTCTTATCTTGACAAAATATAATAGCCAGAATTTCAGCCGTCTCCTCGAGTCGCAAACTCACGAGATAAACCTCCCTCGGGAGCCTGCGTTTGCGCCTAAAAGATACGGCTGAAATGCAGCCTACAAAAATCGAGGATCCGAAAAGTCTCTAAATCCTTCATGGTTTCTGAGTGCCACATTGATATGTGAAACGTTAAATACATCCTTAAAAAGTTGTTGGCAATGGTGGTGCCCCTTTATTTAAAAAAAATGAATGTTGCCAGGGCAGCGGTGGGCGTGAAAAGGGTATGAGGTTCGCTCCCTCGCCTCAGAATTCAACGACTACTCTATTAGGCTAATTGGAAACTGATCTCATGTCAGACCCTTCACTGGGTCAATAACGGTTATTTGTTGGCCTTATCTCAATCAGCTTCGCCGTGCTACAGTGAGAAGTCCAGTAACTGGTGAACTTGAACATGCTAGATACAGAGTTAGCAAAAGGTATTATGCATCTCTTGTAATATTAAAGTTCCTACGAAGTGATTTTTTTGGCAGTTTTTTGTATCTTGCAATTGTTGCACACCGATTTGCCGAAAGTAGTTTGCTGGAGAAATCTATAACGCAATGTAATTTTGGCAGTTCACAGTGGACAAAGTTATTAAAATAGTGTCGTGCAATTGGAGACTGAATTTCTAATTTACCATAAAAATCGCTGACAACCTGTTGTCCGCCATGAGCCTTACTCCGCTTTCCTCCAATGAAATCATCAAAGACCCTTGGGGATCGTCCTTTTATGTTCGCTGCCCAAAACTGTTGCGGAACAACCTACCCCAGGACATAAGGACAACCACAAGTCTATCATGTTTTAAAATTAAACTGAAAACGTTTTTATTTTCCCAAGTTTTTTCATGGCAAGGTTCTTAATTTTTAATTGGATTTACTTATACAATTAATATTTTTTAAACTTCTGTAAATGCAATTGGGCATTCATATGAAAATTGCGCTATAATGATTTAACTAACAAAGCTCAGCAAATCTCGTTTTGGCCGAACGCGAGAAATGTTCACTTTCTGACTCTACCGTTGGCGAGATAATAACAGGGTTTTAAAAAATGTCCTACGTATTAGTAAAATACTTCATAGGCATTCCAAACCATTCATGCGATTCAAAGGTACATGCATCTTGATTCATAGAATTTTAATTTCATGATCGTGATTATCGACATACTCTGGCGCATGACACCTTGACCTTATACTTTCTCAGCGTCGCTTCTTGGGGATTCTTTCATCAATTCACAACTTCAGAACTGTCATTTAGTTGTCGATTAAACGTTTGTTATCCGCTGCAAAATTTATTGCCTTAAATCCCTGGTTAATTGTAGTTTAATCTCAGCCCCAACGTCTGCTTGTGACATTCAAAATGTCTGTACCTAGATACCCAAACGAAGCTTGTAACTAAATTACTGCCAAGCCAGAATGTTCTTAATAGGTAATCTTTAAAGCTGCATAGTTTAAGAGATCATTGAAGGAATCACAACTGTTAATTACAACATTGAGATTATCCTGCTTAGTGCAGAACTAATTTGAAGTTATTATTTACAACATGATAGTTCTAAATTAATTAAGGATAGGAAACTTTTTTCAGCGACAGTTAAGGTGATGTTAGTGCTGTACAGGGTGGTTCTAACTTGAAAACTTAATTAAGCGGAAATCCAGGGACCTTCGCAGGTGTCCGCTTAATGAAGTATCCGCTGAATACACCTGAATTGCATTATGGGACTTTCGATATATTAAATTCTAACATGACTCCGAGGCTTTAGGGACAAAGTTGCAAAGTTTCTACTACTCTATTATCTCGCAATCCCCAGAAGAGACTTGACAACAAAGAAAACCAAACCAAAAATAGAAAAATTACCAGAAAGCCTCGGAGTCACGTTAGAAATTTCATATACCGAACGTGGGCTATTGGCTTTTACGTAGATGCGCTGGAAACTGGATCAGAGTTCGTCCCTCAAAACAGTCCCAATTTGACTGAACACCGATCCAGTCTTGAGGGAAACCTTAAAAAAGCAGTTAAGACCGTTATTTGTAAGCTCTTTTTTGTACAAAAGTGTCGTGTGGTTGCCACATAAAACGTTAAAAGCGACCCATAAATTTTGCGCCGTTTTGTTTTTTATCTCGTGTGAAATTATGTAGTTTGCCCGTGCTACAATAATTCTTGACGATGGAGCAGTAGAGGAAGCTGAATATAGAGTCAGTAAAAGGTTTGTGAACAGTGCACTATAAAGTGGATTGGCAGATTATGTTAAACACAAACTTATCATGCTACCACAATTTCATGTTTCCACACAGAATTTTTATTGTCGTACAGAGCAAATGATTTTATCAAAAGTCCAGTTAAGCAAGCCGTTTGTGTGAATGCACATTTTTACGGAAGTATTATATCACCGAACCATTTTATCTATATAATGGTCTGTTAGCCCTTAAGTTCATCCTGACTTGCGTATGATTTTTAGATCCTAGATCCTAAATTTCGTCTCTGTGTCTTGCTCCGTAGATGGCGTTTTCGTTCCCGTGCAAAACTGTTCGCCGTCTTTCCCAAAAGTTTTGATTATACTATTTCTCTTTACTTAGCGGAGAAGCAGGTAATAATACAGTCGAGTAATGAGGTAGTTTTAGAAAATGTAGCGTAACGGAAATTGTGTTATGGTATGTGGCTTTTTTAAAGGCAACGAGGTTTCTCCGGAGTCAAATATTTCTATAGACACAAGGCACATTGTTCAACAGATATGTGTTGCTCGACGATCATTTGGTTTTATTTTATTAATTTTTATCCATGAATTTCTGGAATACACATTTAAAATAAAAGTCGGTAGGGGAAAAAGGAAAGAAAGAAAAAGGACATACTAAGACGTACCAAAACGCCAAAAGCTGCCAAACGCACTAAAAACCGTATACAGTATCTTAGTATTAACATTCCTTTACCGAACCAATCACAATGCGCGAACAAATTCAAACGAGCCAATCGGATCTGGCAATGAATACATGCAGCCGACTATAAGCGCGGGAAAACGTAGGTGATTTGGTGACATTGGGTTTAGCTTGACTAGAGACACTTTCTGGAGGTAGTATTATTTAACATTTGAGCCCCAATAGTGATCAACATGTAACTTCTCGTAATATCACTTTAAAAAATCGTAAGGAATGAAAAGACTGTTGTTTTGCCTTTTTATCTTCAGTTGTTTTCTGTATTTCAGAGCACGGGATTCATATACAAAACACGTGAATTTCAAATGTATATCAGTTCATAATTTATTAAAAGCGGAAAGAGTCATTCAAAAGCCTATTTTAATCTGCCTTAAACCAATGATAAGGAGTTGTACTTGTTCCACGGCGCGCGAATGTCGCGCTCCCCCGGCCCGCCTCGCACTTGCTATCGCTCGCCTGAAAAACGCGAAAAAATAAGCCTGTTTTCGGGTCTTCATCTTGACTTATGCATAGCATAAAGTGCTAGATAGTGTGTTACAGGCTAAGTCGCGTTTGTCTGGGAGAATTCAAGATTGTTGGATGAGGTGGATGAAATCATAAAGAAACGAAATATCAGTCGGAACTGGATTCTTAAACTGAATGTTGGCTGAAACCCGGAGAGAATCATTTGGGTACATACTCCAAGCCTGGATAATCGCTTGCCAGATGTACTTTTTAGGGATCCTTTACCACCCAGCCCCCAAAATGAACATACAAAAAAACGGCTGAAACATAGATCCTAAGAATCCAGATATAATGTAGACTTGATTTAGTGAATCCACTCAGAATGTTGCTTCATGACCTGTAGATTCTTAATAGCCCATTTCCGGATTTGAATAACCAAATGCAAAATCGGTGTTTTTGGATAATTCATCTCAAATGTCGATGTGTCTTACTCATACTCATGTTATTCACTGACGTTTCCAAACAGCTCCGCCGTGCAACCATACAACACCCTGTGACGGGAAAACTTGAATACGCTGCCTACCGCATTAGCAAAAGGTTGGTTATCAGCCCCAAGGTCCAACCCTATTATACATCATTTTTGTCAGAAAAAGGTACCCCTTTCGTGCACTCCACGGAAATATGATAACCCTTTCGTCTTGACATTTTATGTAGTAACGTTAAGAAAGTGATACAACCATATTTTAGTTAAAGGCCCTTTTAAATACCTAAATTACCAATTTCCTTGCCCTTTCATATACCTTAACTTAAGAAATCCCTACCCTTGGCCTTTTGTATACTCAAAGCGGGAAAAAGGTATCCCTAGGAAGTACATGTATCCCCCTGGGTTTGAGCCTCCCCGTATAAAAAGTTGCCAAGTAGCCCCACTCGGGGTTATCAATGCGAATATTATGCTCGTAAATATAAGCTGACCATATACTAAACTTGTTTGATTGTTTGATCAACTGATTGATTGTTGATTGAAAGAACGAATGAGCGAGCAATTAATGAATGGATAAGATGTTGTAAAGCCCAGCGTTGCTTTTATTCTAAATTCTTAGGGTCGACGATGACCAAAAGGCTAACATCTCTTTTTATTTTTCACCTTAGTAATAATGATTATAATTATATCAAGACGTTAAACTTAAAGATGAATAAACGTTGTAATGAATGAATAAGGACGAGGAAATGAAAACCGATGTTTTAAAATATTAATCAAAATAGCAATAACTGAACCTTAACCTAGGGTAAATTGAAGTTTGTCGAAGTGAAAAGTGTGTGTGTGTTTTTTTCTTAATTCTCGCATAAAAGAACTTGCATGAAACTAACGTTATAATAATGCTTTTGCAGAGATTTTGCACTACCGCCTATGTGATGTGTTCAATCATCTTCTTTTTAGGGAAAATTTGTATTGTTTGTGACACAGAAAAGTGAATTTTTTTCAAGAAAACAGCAGACACTTAAATCTTCCTTTTTTTTATCCAAAAATAAAACTTGAGATGTTGTTGGAATACAAAAAAACCGTATATGTGCTTAGATTTCCTCATTGGATGCCTCTATCTAACCTAGCTTCAACAGCTAATCGACTGCTAATCATCATAAGTATGCTTCACGCAAAGTAGAGAGAACTAGGGTGCTGAACTAATGAAACTTAAGGGCTAACCATAACCTTTATTGTGAACTAATAGCTTTACTTCATACTGTCCTTCTTTGTTCTGTGTGATTGTCAGATGACGTGCTAGGTTTCGACAGCCGGGGCCATCTTGGGTTGTTTAGAAGTGTCAAGCTACCTTCCAGGGAGGGCTAGAAGGGAGGCAAAATAATCCACAGTACACCCCTCAGTAGCTTGATAACCTCTGGGCCAGCTGATAAACAAGAAGCGTGCGAAGCAAGCGTTTCCGCGCGAGTTTGTCGAGAAAGTAATTACTCGATCGGAAACGATTGCTACGCACACTGCTAAACAAGCGGGAAACAGAAAACTGGAGGACTTGACATAGTCTGAGTAACTGCTAATGCTTAACGCCTTAAGCCAGCTTACGTCTTAACTGAATTTTGAGTTCATTCTGTTCAATGATGCTCTCGGTACTTAATACCGTAAAATTCCGAAAATAAGGGCCCTTTTTGAGGGGCTTATATTCGGAGGGGCTTATGTATGGAGGGACGTTTGCGTTTCAAAATCGATTTGGCTAGCTTATAGTTGGGAGGGAATTTACCGTTTTTGCTTTGTTTTACTTTGTATTTGAGGGCAATTTTCCAACTACAAGCCCCCGGGGGGCTTATATTTGGAGGGGTGATTTCGCGGAGGGCTTTTTGTGTTACGAGTTTGGAGGGGCTTATAATCGGAGGGGCTTATACATGGAGGTGCTTATTTTCGGAATTTTACGGTACATACTAAATTTAGCAATTTGTCGGTTATCTTCCGTTGAAAGGAATATGTTTTAATGTTTTTAACTGGAAATCAAACTTTGACCTTGACAAGTGAATGACAGTTCTGCGTACATCTCTGTTTTTTTTTGCATTTGATATTTTATTTTCCATACTTACGTGATCAGCAATTCGTTCACTTTCTGTTGAAATCTCTTTCTTTTTTAACTTGTTTCAGTTTTTCTTTTTTAATGTAGTTAATATGCTTCTACCCTTAAAAAACATGTTTACTTATTTACCTCCTACCGCATTTTCTTATTTTATTATGCTAAGTTTATTTTTTGGCCAATTTGTGTCTTTTACTTTTGCAAGTGGCTGGTTAAAGGACACTGATCATGAATTGATCAGACGAGTAAGTCGGCGTTTTGAAGACGTGACTGGTCTAACTATGGACACTGCAGAGGAACTACAGGTATAGGATCATGAAATTATTAGAAAGTGGTGAATATATGAATCTCGTATATTTCTACCGCGGAATGAAGAAGTAAATGTAGAGACGATCCTCACAGTTAAAGATGCAACTTATGTATTTATGAAAAGAAAGCTTGAAAAAAATAGTAATCACTCTTTTGTCTTCCCTCCTCACGCGGCAGACAAAGCCTTCAGTCCGCGAATTTTATCCACGTGATCTGTCTCCATGTTTTATCTTTAGCTGGTCAACGTAAAAATTGAGCAGAAGCTAAGGATTATCCTACATTCTTGGAGGGGTTCCTCGTGGAAGCGCTACGCCCTCACGTAATCCCACTAACTGAATCTCAGTTTACACGATCAGCGGAGGCCTATAACGCCTGTTCACCTCGTGCCTTCGCTTTCTCCGCCCGAACAAAAGCACCTTTGACTGAAACAAATCTCTCCCATGTCAAATCTTAGTATCTGCGTCGACTACAAAGGTCGACCGATTATTTTGTGAAGATGTTTAAAGAACAGCATGTTCTGTTGAAAGAAAACTTGTGATGTACTTCTTTTTCCACTTATAGATTGTAAATTATGGCATAGCTGGGCACTATGAACCGCATTTTGACCATGCAAGAGTAAGTATTACTTTAAAAGTCTTTCTGTGACGGCTTTCCTGTCGTCAACTGGAGTTCACATTCTGTTGCTAAATCAGCCCACTGAAACTAATTACTTCTAATCCTTCCACTCTGACACCTTTAAGTGGCCAAATAAAACATTTACGAAAAAAAAATCGTGTTTCTTTGTGTAGAATCCTAAGAAATAAACTTTACCATGCAAAGTTCTTCCAAAGCGGTTTTTTGTGAATTGTAACACCTAAGGAATTTGCCCACGGATTTCAAAGTAACAGTGACAAATGTTCTCGCCGTACCTTGATCTCAGAGTGAGAGGATTAAGACAGGTGCTCATATAACAAGTTTGGTAGTTCCAATTTTTCCTTCTTAAAATACTTCTCTAGTTTAAAAAAATAATAAAATAAAAAATAGGTGATGAACGACAAATTTAAACTGAACCTACAATTATTTTGTATGAGATAATTCTAACTGTGAAGTGGCTGGAGGTAATGCGAAATTGAAACCATTCAAGTGAACACTACTTAGCAGTAATTTCCTGTAGTACTGTTTATAATGCTGTAAAAGGTGTCTCTAACGTAGTTTTTAAGCCACTAGGTAGTACTTTCCTGTGGTACCGTTTATTACGGTGCACAAGGTGATTCTTAACTTTTGATTCTGGGGACGAAATCCTAAATTCTAAGCATTTGAATAAAAGCTACTGAGTAGTACTTTAGGGTGGCTAAAAAGAAGTAACCATTCAGGGGAAAGCTACTGGGCGGCACTTGCCTATGGCAGAGTTGAGTAGTCTGTTGTACAAGGTGTTTTTAACCTTCCAAATATGCGGTCTTTTTTGCGTTTATGCATTTATGTTTTTTCTCTCTTCACAGGAACATGAAGACAAGTTTTCATCGCTTGGTACGGGCAACAGAATTGCTACAGTCCTCGCTTATGTAAGTCATTATTTAAAGATTCATACTTCTTTGTTAATATAATGCATTTGAGAAAGATGTTTTTTCAGTCAGTGACCAAGGCGTGTCGAAGGGAAAAAATGACTCTCTAGTAACCATGGTAACTAGTCCAGATGCTCTACCACTGAGCTACAGAGACCCTTGGGTTTGGATAACAGTCTCGAATTCTCCCAACCCCTCTCCTGTTTCTATCAGGCTATGCAAACACGGAAAAGGTTTTCTATTAAACATCTTTTATAAATTAAGTTTCCCAAGAAAAAACGCAAAACTCTTGGTTATGGCACTGATTAAAAGAGAAATTCTCACCAGTCGCGAATTCTTGTACGCGTAGTCAGTTCTTGTTTTGCAAAAAATATGCTTTTCAAATTTTGAATTTTTCTCGCTTAAAATGTCAGCTTACGCGAAAAAAATTGACACCTTATGTTTGTAAAGATTTTTCAAGTTTCACCCGACGAGGTAATGGGTATATATAGTAAACTTGCCGAGTTTTCAATTCAAAAACTTTTTCAAATTCGTGCTTTCGTGATTAGCGCGCGAAAAGCAAAACATCTTAACGTTACAAGCATGTTTACATGCTTTCAGGCCAATTAGGTATTTTAGAAAACTGATTTAGTGCGCTTTGTTATTCTAGATGTCTGATGTTGAGGCAGGCGGTGGAACAGTGTTTACGCAAGTTGGTACAACGTTATTTCCAAGCAAGGTAAGGTGAAACGCTAGGAAGGTATAACTTTTGGAAAACGTACTATTCCAGCAGTTTGCATCAGTCATGTAACTCTCAAAAGTGAGCTAAATCCTCGGAACGGTGAAGAAATTGAGCTACGCCCATTTCAAGCTCTTGGCCGAGTAGTTCTTTGTTTGTTAGGGTCATCACTATGAGATGTGATCGTTTGACGGTTGCCGAGTCCCAAAAGTCTTCATACCCAAAGCTGATACCCTGTCTCTTGAAATGTTTAAAAGTGGTTATAGGTCACGCCACAGGATTTTGTTCTTTCGATGCTCAAGCTACTGCTCAAATACTATCAGGTACACGGCAAACCTCGGCCATCCAGTAAACCGCCAACCAGAACTTTGCTCTCGAAACTCGAGACACGATACTCGAGTTTGAGAATCAAGACGCGAGTGATTGTCAAGCGGTACTTTGAGTCGGCACCAAGCGGGGGAAACGCGCTCGATACGAAAGGAATGGCTTTGGGCCCACTCCTGATTGGTTGCGAAAGTTGCGCGAGATTTTTTAGCCAATCGTAATCCAGTCAAACTAAATCATATTAATTCGGAAACCACTCTTGTAGGGAGACGCTGCTTTCTGGTGGAACCTGAAACGCAGCGGGATCGGAGATGCCAGCACTAGACATGCTGGGTGCCCTGTGTTGGTAGGCCAAAAATGGGGTAAGCGCACACTTCCAATAATATCAAATTTGGGCATGCGCAATTATCCGTAATGACTAATACTCTAGAAAGTACTGAGTTGTTAGTTTACATTTTGCAACACATCAACAGAATCAAAAGTTAGAACCATCTTATACAGCATAATAAACCGTTCATCATCAAAGAGAAATGCTCCGTAGCTTTCATTTGAATAGCCACGGCACACTTTAGGATTTTATCCACAGGCTTAAAAAAATGAAACAACCATTCCCTCATATGATTTAAAATTGAGAACTGAAAAATGCACCTCTACGTGTTAGTCAACTTTTCCCTCGTGATTTCATATTTTTCTACCGTTACTTATATCACGAGAAGATGCGTCCCAAACCCGATGCAATAACAACGGTACATTTTTTAATGCGAGTAAATTGTTGCCAGATTAACTAACACCCATAGTTTATTCCTTGATATTTTTTGCTGTATTAAATACTTGATATTTTCGTATTTTTAGTGGCGAACAAGTGGATCCACGAGCGAGGGCAAGAATTCAGACGGCCGTGTGCCCTGTCTCGCCATGAGTGAAACCGCTGGTCAGGGAAGCGCTCGGGTTCAATAAAAGAGTTAAAATAAAGTAATATAACCAAACGCTTGAGACCTTTTCTGTATTTCTGCGAACAAATTCACCAACTTGAGGCTTGGTATGACAAAATCATGATACAATGATTTGTATGAAACTGTCACCCAGGTCTCGTCCTCGTTTCGGTGAATGCACTCACTTGAGCGGACTGCCGGAAGGTCTGTTGTGTAGGATTTAACCATTTAGGTGTTAAGGTACGTTAAAAAACGGGCAACACAAACGTGCAACTTGTTTTGCAACAATGCTGCAAGAGTAGTCGAATCAGCGATATAGCGCGTTTTACCACCCATGAATCAAACCTGTCTTCTAACAAATCAGATTGTTGCAGGTTCGAAATGTTGTTGCAGAAAGCACAGAGAAGTTCTCCGTTTTACTGGCCCAAGGCAAACTTGTTTAGCAGCAACTGAAGTAGCTCCTATGTATTGCGTGACTCCCGCGTATTTTTATCCAATCAGAAGTTAGTATTCTCGCTACTTGCAGCAGCCTGATTTGTTACAAGCCAGGTTTGAACGTTGGTGGTAAAACGCACAACATCGCTTTTTTAATTCGTTTTTCAGCAATGTTGCAAAACAAGTTGCAAGTTTTTGCTGCCCGGTTTGCCGTACCTTTAGACGTTTTGTTAGTAGGTTTCTAATACTTCGTCTATAGGGAGTCTGAAAGCTATGAATTGTCTGCTAAAAATGTAAGAAATCGTCATATTATCAGATCAACAATACTGAGAGAGTTTCTATGTTTTGTGATCTTTGTATCTGGCAGTACTAGAATTTCCTTTAATGGAAATAAATTTTATATCTTGCAGAGTGGTTGTGTTTTCGTCTCGCTGGCGTCACTTATAAAGTGAATTCGGCAATTTGCGCTCTTTCGAACATTTTTTTAAATCCGCAATACCTTATGATGATCAAGATGTCACTAGATATAACGTGGTATAGGTGATATCTCTTGTGATTTCCACAATGAAAATTAGACCTTCCCACCTGCATAACTGTATATGTTGTCCCACCCCTCCTCTCTTGTTTTCGCCCCATGTAAGGGAGTCCAAGACAGTCTTGGATTGTGGACTCCATGCCGTGGATTCCGGATTCCAGCTACTGGATTCAGCTCCTTTGTCAGTGGAACTTGGATTCCGAATTCCAAAGCCCACGATTCCGGATTCCACATGAAAAAATTTCTTGATTCCCTTACTTGCGACGATTAATAGCCGGGGAAGGAATGTTCAACCCGTGAAGTCCGCCCAGGAGTGACCAACATCAATTTTCTCCTAGCAACATGGACACATCAAAAGCAGAAGGTTATGAGAATTGATAACATGATCCCCAAAGATAAAATTCTTTGATCTTTAATCAAAATGTCCCAATCAGTTCTTTAAGGAAATATATGAAAATCAGTCGTGGAGAATCTGTACGTGGAGAGCCCTGGATAATTGGGCCACGGACAAACGTGAGTTAAGTTCATGTAAAGTTGGACGTCTGGCTTAGTTAAGTTCGTCTGAATGAGTTTGGATCGTCCAAGACGTTCTACCGATCCACCTGCTTCAGGCGGATTTCGGTGACGCATACGAAAAACTCGCTCGGGCCACGTGACCCGAAACGTATCGACCGCGCGCAATATGAGGCCTAGGGACTAGGCAAGGGGCTAGCTATGCAAATAACGGAAATAAGAAACTTTTTATTCAGGGTCTGAAAGTGAGCTCCTGATCCCGTATTCCCAGTCCTTTTTTAGGACAATACCGCATGTGCAACTTCTGTTATCTTAATTAATACCGTTTTCTTTCCCAATACCTCATCCTGTGCAAAGATTTTAGCGAATCCCGCTCCCCGAGTAGCGGCCAAATACCTTATCCAGTCGAGAAATTTTGCTTTGTCCCGAATCCCGCAATGTATTTCGGTCAAATCCAGGATCCCGAGAACACCCTTCCAGACTCTGTTTATTAAAGTTCGATCGGCGAGTTATCGAGAGTTCGAAGAAAATAGCCGGTAGTAAGAAAAAATAAAGTTTTTACTGCGCAGTGAACATTTTAATCACATTCAGTTGTAGAAATGTTAAGTGAAAATTAAAAGATACTTCTAGATTATAAAAAGAAAACGGATCCCCTGTTTGAATAGTCTGCTACACAGCCGTTTTTAGTGTCGTCACGCAACGCTCCTCCCCAACTGAGGGAGGAGCGTTGCAAAAAGACTGTGTAGCAGACTACTGTTTGAGGCGTAAGCTTGAAAAATGAGACAAAATTCAAGGAAAAAAGAAAAGGTTGACTGGAACGCACAAATCTTCCTTAAACGGCTCTTCTAGGGTGACTTGAAGGTAAAGTTGAGTTCATGATACTGTGTTTCTGGCATAGCTGGGCATTTACGCACTTGAATTTAGCTGATATAATAACGGTACCCTATTAAACTAAGGATAACACCGGCCTGATTACAACGTCAACAAGGTCAAAAAGGATGCCCTGTGTAAGCATGGACACCCTCAAAAACCACACTCTATCGGGCGGCACATATCTAAAGCCTATATATGGAAGTGCATCCCCCGGCCGGGCTACCTGTAAAGGTTCCGACAACCTCCTACCCTTACATAGGCTTCGTTTTCACCCTCTCCCACCCCGCCTGGAATTGACGAACAATTTCGATCAGGGGAGGCAAAACAAACATCGCCGCGCGTGCCTACAATTTTAGCCTCCAGCGTTGTGAAGTTGGTAGTGACTGGTGTCTGGTCCATTTGACAAAAACATGAATCTTTTTTATTGTAATGTATTATTGATAACAATAACACGTTCAAAATAGTTTCTAGTGATGTTATTTATTCCTACTTATCCGGAGTACATACCAATGCGTTTTCATTACACATGGAAGTAATTACGAAACCATTTACCACCGAATAGATGAGTGAAATACTTTATAAGTCAGCCAAACTGGAGGGGTATATTTACTCGATATATTACCTGGCTTAAGTGATATTAACCAGTATCCTGCCCGGTTGGGTTTATAAAACTTATGGCGCAGGCGTCTACTTGGAACTTACTACAAAAAAAAAAATTAGAGCTCTTGTGAGAAAATAACGTTTATCAACCAAAGGTTTAGAATAGCTAAGCGTATTCACCCTTTTTTTAGGGCATTGTTTATTCAGGGACTTTGTAGTGTCAATAGCCCAATGATCATGCATTGTTCCTCTGTCAAGCTGTGATTAAAAGAAACTTAATCACTCTCGACAGACTCTTCCGCTTCCTAATTAACGTTGAAAAATATTATGAAAATATTATGAAATATCTTAAAATGGACCAAATAAACATTTACAAATTACTACAGACTCAAGCTAAAGATCTGCTTGTTTGGTCACGGTTTCCACCACGGTAAGTGGATTGAAGTAGCTGTTACTTTTTAAGAGCTGTTGGTGTCAAATGAATTATCAGGGGGTCAAACTGTTCTCCAATTTGGCTGAGGGATTGGTTTTGTGCCGCAAGAGCCTACCGATGATTGGTTAACATCGTGAAGGGTGACAGCTATTAAGGACATGTATCGGAACTTGTTAATGAGGTCTGATTGGTTGGGCGGAGCTAATGGAACTTGAAGAATGCATGGACAGCCGACACAGGACATCTATCGGACAAGCGAAGAGGAAGAAATAGAGAACAGAGTGATAAATCATCAATGGACGTCACGTCGAAAAAAGACCAAGGCGGTTCTAAGAGGTACAGCCTTCGCCCAGTTTCGCGCGAGTCTCGAAGCAAGCTAGCTGTATTGGCGGCTTTTGAGGACGAGGAGGAAGAAATGTGTAATGAATGTTTCAATGATTCTACACGGCTACGAAGATACCCCCATTTGAGGACATCAAGGGACTGCGCCACTGTGAGGGAAAGAAATCGAATGCATAAGTTGAACCGGGCGTTCGAAGAATTGAGAAAAGTCATCCCTAAAACAACCTATAACAGAGAAGAGAAACTCTCAAAGATCGCTACTCTAAGATTAGCGATTCACTATATTTCTGTCCTATCGAACATCTTAAAACAGGACTCTGGGGAAGAAAGAGACGAAGACGAAATACAACCAACGAGTAAAAGACAACGTCTAAGCGACGAAGAACAAGAAACGGCCTCTAATTCAAGTAGTAACGAGTGTGGGTCCGAGCACTCCCCTGAAGGAATCTTCTTTAATGAAAGTAAGTGCTCTAAGCCCTATTTAATAAAAAGTGTACACATAACTTTTGTTGCTCGCTTAAAGACGACAGGTTCCGGCTTTTCGTTTGAAAAGGTGGCAAATTTTACACCTAACTTTGGGGTAAGGTGTACAAAAGCTTCAAGGGGGTGAAATCGAATTTATGCCCCCAGCGTAGAATGGCTTAAGCAATGTAATTTTCTTCGTTCGGAGCGGTGGAACGTTAAAAAATTGAGACACATTCGTTCAATTTTTTCGATGTTACCAAACGTAAACATGTCTGGTGCTTTTAAGTGAGCTTAGGTTTAAATCTCCATAAGGTTAATTGCCTTTAGCCTCCGATTTGCGGGTTCAAGTTCTTTTAAAAGGTCTCCAACTGTTTTTTAACAACAGAATTACCCTTTTTCTATAATACCAACACTAAGAAGTGCCCGGCTTACCGTAGCCGTTTCAATCAGTTGTTCGAAAACTTGGTCAGTGCAAATAAAAATCCTTGCGATCAGTCTGAACCTCGTGCTGTTCAAAGAACGACTAAATTCTAAACCTGTTAGTGAAGTTCTGTGCCGGTGTAGACTGTATAGAGTATTACATTTTCCTGTGGCGATTTTTCACAAGAAGGCTCTGACGTTTTAGTTAATGCGTCAAACACCCATGGAAGCTTTCACTGCGACAGTCCCTCCATATATTTGCTGTCATTTTCAAGGCAGTTCAATATTTTAAATTGTGCATGAAATCCCAAAGCCTCCCGTTACGAATGAGGCCATGCACTGAGCAGTCCTTCAGTTACATCAGGTGCTTTCATGATCTTGTTGTATAAGGTGGCTTTTTCCTCTGAATCTGTCTCGATGAAGTCTTAGTTTTGCACCAGATGAAAGCTACCTTTGCAGAATTTTAATATGATAAGTTCCCGAGGTCTTTTATTACTCTTGTTTGAAGTTTTAGTTAAAAAACCACTGAGCTCATTGAACAGTTTTAATTTGTTGCCTAGGTTTTGACTCTGTTGGTGAAAGTGTGTCCATTTAATATGAAAACTATGAGTTTCCCATGATACTGTTTGTCAATATACTATACAAGATAGATGTTAATGTTTGAGTCCATGGATGAAATTCTATTAGTTTGGTCATTTAAACTGAAATCTCAACTGAGAGCGGGTTCTTTGCTCTCGACTGTTTATTGAGTTGTACAATATTATCAACTATTTTCCACTTAAAATATGACAGCCCATGAGAAGCTTTGATCAACAAGCAATTTCGTGTTGATGACCTTTACGTATATACTGCTCAGTTATGAGGAATCGCTAAAAATCTGTGAAATCTCTATTTTACACTTGCATGACGGTACGCATTAGGATGCAAATATGCGGTTTTGTATTTACCATATTTGCCCCTGGTTTCCTCGTAGTTTACACTTTTTTGCCTCAAGGAAATTTAATTTATAGTAAATCTAATTTTGTGCAGTGCGTATACCACCTTACAATGAATGGGAGATCCAAAACGCTGGTTCTAGTCCTTTCATTGACTAAATTCATGTGACCACCATTAATCGATTGAAATGATTGTTTGTTTGCAGGTTTTTGGTGTGGAACACTTGAAGAGTTTGTTGGCCCAAACTGGGACGAAATTACACTCAACGATGCCCTTCAAGCTTACGCCATC